CGTATTCGATGAATTTTTAATACTTTTATAGGGAATTATATGGATTTTCATAAAACATTACTTATTTGGGAAAATAAGGAGAGATAACTCTAGATTTTTTGTAAAACTTGTGTTTTTCACTATAGAAATCAACAGGAAACGAAAAATATTTTTAAAATCTCTCTGATATGCATAGAAATGCCGCTACCCACTTCAAGAGTGAAGAAATATTTAGAAATAACAAAAGATTCAAAACTGTTGAAAGTCAATTTGCGTAGTAAGTTTGGTGTATATACTGAAAACAACCAACAAATGAAATAATATAAGACTACACCCGTTCCTTCTCTTTCGCTAGTTTAATAAACAAAGCCGCACTATAGTTTGTCCTCCTTTTGCGTTGATCAAATAGGTCCAAAACAACCATTCGTAATTTTTGTTGTATTTATTGTGCATTTGTGTTTTATATGATAAATAAATTTATTACCAAAAATAATTTCCGATGGAATCAAGGTTTTATTTGTATATGTATTACATTGATAAACATGATAAAATAAGCTTTGTGGGCTAAGAGGCTCAAGAACAAACTTTAAAGTTTTTTTCTAGATTTTACCGAGTAACAGAGTACACAGTCGGAAAAACGTCCGAGTAACCGATTATCAAATATTGACCCTTTGACATTCCTAATATTCTCATGTATTTTTTTCTCAAAAGCCTACTATTGTAAGTAATCAAGTATTTGCATGAAAACGGATTAAATGTATAAAAGAAACACAAGATATGGATTGATAAAAGATTAAAGTTACTTTGGTATATTTAAAAAAAAATGAAAAGAAAATAAGTCAAAATAAAATACAAAAAATCGCTTCATTTATGCCATTAAAAGAATATTTGTTATGCTATCAAACATATGTATCATAACTTACGACATATTTTTAATTCCCCTTTGAAATATAATAAATTGATTTAAATATACATGTACTCACCTTCAGTGTTTCTGGTTGTGCTGAGTTGAGTTTTCTTCTGCCATTTAGAGGTGAAACAGAGCGAAATTTCCACATATTCACCATGCAATCGTTATTATCTCTCTTTCTATTAGCTGCCTCCGTCTATTCAGACTAAAACAGTTCTTATGCTTGTGTTTTCATTCTTCAGCTTTGGCTCATCCTTCAACATATTTACATAAGATTAAATGAGAAAGGATATATAAATGTATACACAAACTCGGCATGATAATTCCTCAAATAATTTCTCCCAGGCATGAAATTATACAGTAATATGCAGTTCGTTCGATCAAGACCCGGCCAAAACAGATATCATGTTACGATGTCTATAATGCTTGCCAGCATAGTGAGGCGATATTTTCAAGTTAAAAAATAAAAGGTAAGCTAATCACACAACGTGATTACCTTGCTTGTGTGGAAGAGAAGGCCTGTCACTTCCATTGAAAATCATTTGTACCCCACGTGGGTTTGTTGACAATAATTTACGCTGAATCGTCTCATGTTAGATTATTACGCGAAAGCAGTACATCGGTATAAATAAACAATTGATGAATTGGATACCTCTTTTCTACTATTTTCTAATAGATTATTAAAAAGATTAGTTCCTCAGTAGCTGTATACCTGTCATTAAAATTACCTTCTTTAACAATTTTGTCCCTCGTAATATTTCTAAAGATCGCTTCCGGACCTAAAACATAATCAAATGTTGAAACCCCATTTGTTTATGTTTTAGACATACAGAGCTGGCGTTCCTTCTTCAAACGTGAAACGTTTCAGGAAAACTAATGTAACTATTAGTTCTATTATCAGGATATTGTTTTTATTTGACTTTTTTTTTACATAAATCAAAACAATTTGTTATAATTCAGTCACAATACACTCTTTTGGTATGATAATAACGGTAAAGATTGGGAAGGGGGTCGAATATGAGTAGCGGGTTGTATGCCCTTAGTTTAAGATACATCCGTTTGGAGTACAATGAAAAAGGGCAAAAATGACCTTGAGATCATGAAATGAAGAAGGCCATCAAAGCAAATGTAATAGGCGGACTCCGCCTGAAAAGCATTCAAAATAAAACTATATATGATGCGGGTCTTCTTCTTCTTTCAAAAATAGTCCCACTATAATTACAGTTAAAAAGCTATAAGCACATCGTCGACATGTATTCATTTGTTTTACCAACTTTGTAGCTTAATCGATACAGTGCTAACTCCATGATTGTTGGTCGTGGGTCGCGATTGACCTTTGTCGAAGAAGGAGGTAGCAACTGTTCCTTCGTCAAGCGTTCGGCACTTTGAAACGAAACTTGCAGGTCCGTCGGATGAGACCTTAAGATTCAAGACCCCATCTCGCGGCACAGCCTTGACACTGCCCAATGGACTGAGAGTCTTGTAAAGATCATTATTTGAAGCCATTCATCGGTATATGGAAACGTCTATATATGAATAGCAAATTTACAAATGGGACGTAAAACAACATACAATTAATTAGCTATTCTTCCACCTGTGTGGCAACGCACTTTGAAAAAATTACGCACTTTGAAAAATTTTTTCAAAGTGCGTTAAAATTGGAACAAAATCAACGCACTTTGGAAAACTTTTTCAAAGTGCGTTAAATTTGGGACACAGTAAACTAGTCCATGAGCCAGGCCATGAAAGTTTCGGTATCGGTACCATCTTGGGTGAATAATTTTCATTGTTAATTTTTGAAGGAGATTTATGTCTACCTTCAGAAAATGCATGATAGCATTCAATTGATTGTGGCTTTAATGGTGTATCAACTGTTTATATACACCAACCCAACTTGTTCGTTCTCTCAGCTGTGTATTTGAAAGAAGAAGGTAGGTTTTTCAAAACGCAATTTCTATCTTATTTTGAATGATATTTTCTTGAAAATTCGTTTGAATGCAGACCATGCAATTACCCGGTTCAATTATTATTCAACATTGGCTCTGTAATGAGCTGTCTAAATTATATAGGAGTATTATTCTACCCTTGATCGTAAAAGTGGAATATGCGATTTTGAAATTTGAATCAGAAATTACTACTGTGAAAATTTTTACATCAAAAACATATTGCACGGTCACTTTATTTAAAGAGTCTTTCTCACGTATTAGCATTTTAAAACATTATTTCAGCTATAAATATATATAACTTGATTTAATAGTAAATCTTCATCCATATCCTAATTATGAAAATTGAAGAATAATTCCCTTGATTAACCCTGAGCGTATATTCTTTTCTTAACATATATATTGTGAATACTAGTATGTCAGGCCTCAAGTAGAGCCTTTACTTAAAATGTTTTATCTATTTAATCTAAAGCTAAATCATGGTGGTTACAGACACTTATATGTTCATATATGTTAAACCTGTAATTTGTTATATATTTTTGGCATCGAAATTAAGCAACATATGTGCACAACCATTTGTTTCAATATATGCATGCTTTGTGGGCAGTGGGCAGTGTCTCACGACCTGCAATGGCCTAACGCCCCTTCCCTTCACTAGTCCGGGTAGAGAGAACCTGTACCCTCTTAAGGGAGATCCCTCTAGGAGAGCACTCTCTACACAAAGCGCACACGGGTCTCAAACACTGTTGATTGAGGGATTGTCTACGCATAACGCATGTAAAGACTGTGCACCGGCAGACTCTTTGGAGGAAATCGTAATGGTTCAACGGAGAAGAAGGCGGACACAGCAAGCACCGTGGAATGCTTGAAGCAAGGCATAAATAACAAAGAGAACAAGAAAAAAAGGATCATCCCACTGTACCTTGGATCGTGGCACGTTCGAACGCTTCTCGACAGAGACATTACAGATATACCTTAGAGACCCACAGCGAACTCGCGAGATATAACATTGACATTGCAGCTCTCAGTGAAACCAGGATGGATGGAGAAGGTGAACTGTGTGAAAGAGACGTTGGCTACACCTTCTTTTGGAGTGGATGAGGAACGAAAGAGAGACGGGAAGCTGGCGTAGACTTTGCTATAAAGACGACACTTGCTGGCAAGCTAGTCGGCGTACTCAAAGGAGTGAACGACCGCCTGATGACGATGAGGCCCCCCTCACTCGAGGAAAGTTCGCCACTATTGTCAGCGCAAATGTTCCTACCCTACCTAACGCAGAGGAGGCTAAAACAAGTTCTATGAAAACCTCCACAATATCATCAACGCCGCCCCCAATGCCAACAACCTCATAATTCTTTGTGATTTTAATGCAAGAGTTAGGTGTGACACCACCACCGGGGAAGGCGTGATTTGGAAGCACGGAGTGAGCAAGTGCAACAGTAACGGTCTGTTGTTTCTCTAGACCTGCACTGAACATGGCCTTCTCATCACTAACACCGTTTTCTGCCTTTCCATCCATAATAATACGTCATGGATGCAACCTTTCTCAAAGCACTGACATTTCATTGACTACGTCATTGTCAGGAAGAGAGACAGACAGAAAGTTCGATTGTTCACCAAGGCTATGTGCGGCGCGGAGTGATCACCGTCTCATCGTCTCTAAACTATAACTCTTAACTTCCGGATCAAACTCAGGAACCGTTCACGGTAGCTCAGTCGGTAGAGCGCTCGCTCCGTGATCGGGAGGTCGTGAGTTCGTATCTCGGCCGCGACCGACCTAGTCGTTAAAATGGGTAGCAACTCTTCCTTCGCCATGCGCTCGGCATTTTGAAGTGAAAGTTGCGGGTCCTTCAGATGAGACCTTAAAAACCGAGGCCCCGTGTCAGCGGCAGGCGTTGGCACGATAAAGATCCCTCACTGCTCAATGGCCCTGAGGTCAAAATTTGAAGCCCTTCACCGGCATACGGTGACGTCTCCATATGAGTGAAAAATTCCCGAGAGGGACGTTGAACAATATACAATCAATCAATCAATCAAAATCAGGATACATGTATGCCCTCAGGGGACTAAGGCTTCAAAAAGTCTCAACGTTGGCAAGGTCAAGTTGCCTTCCACCTATCAGTACTTTGCTGACACCCTGGAAGAACGCCTGAACTCCACCGTGCTGGATGACCACGACGTGGAAGCAGCATGGGGCACACTTTGTAATACAGTGTACAATACAGCCTTCGAGTGTCTTGGGCCCTCCATCAAAAAACACAAAGGCTGCTTTGATGAGAACTGAGCCGAGATCACACAGCTTCTTGACTTACAAAGCTCATGTAGATGATCCCACCTCCACAGCCAGCCAAAAAGACGCTCTGAGGAACGCTCGCAGCACAGTACAACAAAAGCCTCGGGATATGCAAGTCCCCTGGCTGAATGCCAAAGTTGACGAGATCCAATGCTTCGCCGAATCTCATGGCAGGAAGAATTTTTACTGTGAAGTGGGGGAAGTCTACGGGCCACCTCCATCAGGCTCATCCCCTCTCTTCAGTGACCCTTATCAAAGAGAAGGAAAAGATACTCGACAGGTGGGCGGAACATTTCAATGGCGTTCTGAACCGCCCTTCTACCATCAACGACGAAGCCATCAACCGACTGCCCAGTCACTGGACGCCGTTTGCACGTTAGATGAGATCCAGAGAGCATTTAGTCTGCTGTCAACTGGAATACCACCTGGTGGATACTCCATCCCAGCTGAGATTTACAAAGAAGGGGGCGTAGCTCTAGTTGAAAAACTCCATCATCTGCTTGTGCGAGGATCGGCCTGTCCAGTCACCCCCTGCATCCACCATCCAGGTCAACCCCCTCCCCCACAAAGATGAGACAGTGGTCATCAGCGTCATTGACGGACGAATAACTAAACTAGTATATGTACGTTGGTACTTATTTTTTTTTTCATTAAACAAATTTATGAGGTACATGTACATGTATTTGTTGAATAAAAGTGGTAAAAATGAGCAATTTTTGTTAAAATTAGGCTAGTAACCAGTTAATGCTCTTTTAATATGTTCATCATATCTCTGAGTAATTCTGGTAGAACTTTCTATCACGGTTGGCAACTGTGTGACAAATACTTTGCAAGTTGCAAATATATTAAGCAAATAAAGGGCAATAACTCTCTCCAGCATTGAAGCCACAACAGATTTGATGCTATCATACATTTTCTCACTAGTTAGGGGTATTCTTTACCAAATATCACCATAAAGTTTATTCACCCAAAATGGTACCGACCACTCCCAGTGGCTCATGGACTAAACGCACTTTGAAAAAAATTTTCAAAGTGCGTTAAGAATGTACATCAACATTTTTTATCATGAGGAAATTTAACGCACTTTGAAAAAATATGTATAAAACAAAAATTAAAGACTTAGATTTTAGTAATTGAGATAATCAATTTGTAATCGTTATATCTTTTGAATAACTTTTTAATTTACGTGTATTGATTTAACCTCATAGAGCACAAGGAGAAGACGAGTAGAAGGTCTCTGAATCCAACTCTTTTTTTTTCATATACATAACCGTCGATTGCAAATTGAATGTGCCCCCCCCCAACAAAAAGTAAGCTCCAATTTTCAATGCCTATATTTTGTATATATTTGCATAACATTTGTGTTTCTAATGAACCCCCCTCCCTCCAGGTACCGACGCATATGCTACACCCAAGTATATGTATTTGCATACCGGTATCTGGTATGATGTTGAAAACTTTCAATAAATTTTAGTTTGCATAAAATGCATGCAAACTGGAAAAAATTAAGTACAAAAACATTTAAGAGAGAAATAATTTTCAAAGTATGGAAAACTCAAAATCGCTCACTTTCACATCCTGAAGTGACCCTATCACCGAAAAGTTATACAACAGGTTCAATTATTTATCAAACCTAAGTTTTACAAGAATATCGACCATACACATTTTTTCAAAGTGCGTTAATATGGTCGATTTTAACGCACTTTGAAAAGAAATTTTATTTTTTTCAAAGTGCGTTAATTTGGTCCCAAATTTAACGCACTTTGCAATTTTTTTTTCAAAGTGCGTAATTTTTCAAAGTGCGTTGTAACACCGGCAATGAATTGGGTGTTAGACAAGAAAAAAGAGATTACATAATCAGTATCGCCTCCGTTTGTAAAGGTCACTGTTAAAACTGTTTTTTTGGTATTTCATAATTAGAAGAACTCGCTTTTAATTTTACGTCTGGATATTCAGGTTATATTCTATGAACGAAATTCTGCAAAATCGTTTTTCAGCAGTTCGGTCTACGAAGATGGCCGATCAAAACTATCTTATACTGGATTCTTTTACTTTATCAAAATTCTTACAAAGATGAATTGCGTGGATCGGCACTTTTTCTAGTAGAGTTGTATTTTTACTCATCATAAAAATATTATGTGCTCTATAGGAGAAATTTCCAACGTTCAGTGTAACAACATATCTTAGAAATGGTGATAAGCATATGTGGTTTACTTAAAACTCCCAAGAATCTTTGAGAAAAAAAGTAAATAAAAAATAAAAATAGTGATATCAAAATGTTTGATGGTCCAATTTTTTTTATACGATCATTCCTCGCGATAATTAAAATTAAGGCCTACTCATATATAACATTAATAACTGTTTCTGCTACGAAAATTGGAATTTTCATATCTAATTGTAATTGGCTTTCAACAAAATTATTCTTTCAAAAAATCAGAGTCTAGTGCTGGAATTAAGATATTTCCGTATCTTGGATTGTGATTGGCTTTCAACAAATGTATTTTTAAAAAAATCAACCACAGTCTGGAACCGCTTATATATAAAAAAACCCTTTGCTTTGAGCTTTCTAACGAATGTTTACGGGGACTCCGTATTAATTTTCATTTTTGTTTTAAATTAACATTGTTCTGCTTTCTTCAGCTTTTATTAGTTCCACAAAATAGAATCGTATTTTTTTTTACATTAAATTTTAATTCTTCTGACAAGTAACTTTAACAATTGCTGTCATTTTCATGATATTTGCTTATCAAATTAATAGAGGATACATGTATATAAAAATACACAGGAATCTCGCCGAAAATCGCCGAGCCTGATGGGAGAGGTGAATATAATACTTCGAAGGTGGCTAAATCATTGTATTGACCTCAAAAACAGTAATGGTTGTTTTATTATATAATTCAATGTTAAAATGATACAACTCTTTTTACTTGTTTGGATTTGCTGAAGTCCTAGCGAAAAGTTTTGGGCAGAGCTCGATTTTTTGCAGTATTTTGTTCAGCTAGTTAAATATTCAGAGAACTGAATCGATTTTATTTTCTTTGAATGAATAAGACCCTCGGCTGCAAAATAGCATATGAATAGTTAATCATAATTATAAATTAACGTTTTCTTTCAGACTGTGGGGTTCATCAGAAGCTTGACGTAGTAATATTGTATGATGTATCTGGTAGCTCTGGTTCATCTGGATTTTCCTACCAGCGACAGTTCATCGTTTCATTAGCTGACGCTCTACACCTGAGTTCTACAGACACTAACATGGCCGGACTGGGTGTTGACGACTCAGCCTACTATGGATGGGGACTTCGAGATTATTTCACATCTTCTGCAATAAATTCAAAGCTGCTGAATATATCGTTGAATTTAGGAAATGGAGGTTCAGATTGGGCATCTGGATTTGAAATGGCATGGACTCATATCTTATCCAATAGCACCAGGCAGGGGTCCCAAGCTTGGCTTATAGTTCTAACTGATACATCATATACGACCTCCACAAATGAATTAAACGAAGCTAAAGCTGCTGGTGTAAAGGTTGGCTTTGTAGGAACGGCTTCGGCGTCAAGCTATTCAACGTATGCTTCTGACACAAAATATATTGTCAGTGGAATGAGCTGGGCAACTCTTTCTTCATATATTACGAGTGTTGTGGAATTTTTCTGCTCTGCGTGTAAGTTTGAAACTAGGAATGGCTTGTAAGCTGTTTTCGTTATTATGAAAACCCCGTGATAGTTTATCTTTCTGCAACAGTAAAAGATGTTAAATATCTGTCGGTAAATCGATTTATCAAATGGCAATCGTTCACAAATGAGTGTTTGATAATTTTTCTCATGATTATACCGATTTCGTCCATAAGCTAAACATTTAATTAATGGAATCAGAAAACTAAAATTAAGAAAATTTACGTGAGAAATAATGAAATTGATGTTAACTTTGAACATAATTCTTCAAGATGAGATTTATTTTCTTCTTTAACAGATTGTGAAAATTTTGAGTTTTACTATGATCTTCCCAACAGTATGAGTGTCCAAGCTGATACACACTCAAGTGAGTAGATCCTTCATTACATTATAAAAAATGAAATATAAGATGATGTGTATTTTTTTTTATCACATCAGCTATAACAAATTAATTGACATCAGATTTCATAAATCGTCTGAGTCATAAAAATTGTTGTCACATTTCGATATCCCCACCTCAAAAAAATTTATATAAGAATGATCAAGATTGATTGATTGTTTGTTGTTTCACGTCCCATTCGAGAATTTTTCACTCATTTTGAGACGTCAACATGCTGTATAACGGTGTACGGCTTCAAATTTAGACTTGACTTTTACTCGACACTTAGGGTCAATGAGCAGCGATCATGGCTCTTTATCGTGACAACGCCTGCCGTGACACGGGACCTTGGTCTTTATGATATCATCCAAAGGACCCGTAACTTTCATTTCAAGTGCCGAGCACATGGTGAAGGAACAGATGTCATCCATTCCTTATCAACGTAGGTCAGTCGCCACCGATATTCGAACTCACGACCACCCGATCATGGAGCGAGCGCTGACCTACCGTAAACGGTAATGGTCAAGAATAACAATGTCTAGTATTTTCATCCTTTTGTTAAAAATAAAAAATATATTTTATAGATATAACGAGCAGTATTCGAGCTCAAAAGTCCATTACACATTGCAATATTCGAGCGGAGTAAACCTCTTAAACATCAAAGTTGTATAAGGTGCGATGGAGGATGAGCATCCCCTGCAAACTGATCATTTTCGCCGAGTGCTCTATGTCATAATCGGAAAGTAACGGAAAAAAACAGAAAAAAATCCACGGACAATTCAGTTTGTAATTCATGACCTAACAATCAGTATGAAAAAAGTAAATGATAAAAAAGTAAGATACGTTTAATTGGCCTCATGTTATGTAGAGCCGGAAGGAGAAAAATGACATTCTATTTCATAAGTGTTTGGAGTTAAATAAAAAATACTTCAAGTATACATGTACAAAACGCACGGATTTTAATATGCAATTTCTTGAATTAAGAACATATTTAAAACAGTAACAGTCAAATGATGAAATGATGAAAAAATAACAATAAAGAACAGTTACCGATCTCATAAAAACATCACTTATACACATACACAGAGGTGGGACCGGGTGCCTAGGAAGAGTACCGCATCCACTGTTAACCGGTCATAACCGCGGTGAGCTTGTGTGGTGTTCAAGTACACGGAAAAATCCGAAGTTACCGGTAATTATTTTATTAAATTCAGTTTAATAAAACAATACGTATAAAATAAATCAGCCATAATTAGACCCAGTGATATGTTATATTTGATAATAGGATCACTATAATGACCACTGAATTAAAAAAAAATATGACTTTAAACGAGGTTGTTGAAATCCTATTATTTCAACATATGTCTGCCATGGTTTAAAAAAAATAATAATAACCTGGAATCATGAGTTTTCGTGGTATTACAGTATTACGGTTTATTTGTAATAAAGTGCTTCAAGACTGAATAATTGAGATGTTTGCTATTTATCACATATACAAACAATAATTCTTATTTTGAAATGATTTTTACTCATATATCATTTGTTTTTTTATCAGAAGGTTATTGAATTCTTGCATAGTCGCTCTTTCGTTTTTTTTTTGTTTTTTTTTTTGCTGACGTCATATGTTTTCGTGGTATTTATAAAACAAGTAAACTTTGGAAATCTAGTCAGGCAAAATCCTTATAAATTTTACATTGTCAAAAATACTAGTTAATTGACAAAATGATTACATTATTTGACATGGAAATTTATTTGTTGTTAATTAAGACCACATCTATCTAGGCGTGTCTAAGCTGTATTGCCAAAAAATGTAAAAAAAAAAAAGAAGTTATCTTTCTCGAGAATGGCGTAGAAGTAATTTTGTAAAGCTTTATTTGAATGTTTCACGTTTTAAAATTAGAATTCCATGTATATTTAAAGAAATTAAATGTTTTAATCAATTGCTTATCAATGGCATTATATTTTTTTATCATATAACTTTTTAACACTCCCTATATTTTCTTTGAAAATTATATAAAAGAATTACGTTACAAGATCACCGTACAAAAATATCAAAAGTGGGAAAATCCAAATTATTGTCATATGACCGGTATCTGTATGGATAGTTTACAGACGATGATATGCAGGATCGCCTGCTATTAGTTCGTAAGTTTGGTATTCTAGTTCAAAACACGACGAATAAGCGTATATTACCGAAATTGTCAAATTTGCTAACAATGCATAACTCACTCGCTATATTTTATTTTGTTAATAGCAAATATGACGTCATTTCGATCTCGCATTATGCGATTATTCCTAAAAATAAACTAGATGCTGTCATGAGACAGTAATACCCGCACTATGGTGTTTGCCTCTAAATATACACTCATTCATATTGGACTTTCCAAGGAAGAAGTCAAAATAATTCTATAATTATCACCGTACATGTATTCGTCAAATTGAACATAAAATTTTCAGATGACCATATCAACTCTGAGCCTCACATATGTATTTTAAAATACTTAATTCATAACCAGTCTGAAATAACAGAATTTAATTAATGATTGAAGTAAATTACTTAATTAGATTCAAATAAATAATTTTCCCATAATTTGGAACTTTTTAAATTTACTTTCTCAACGACATAAAATATTATTTTAGTACAAAGCGTTTTTGATGAATTTATCAAAATGTGCAAACTGATTTTAGTATTTGGTCGGGAAAAAAACCCATTGAAAATACAACCCGATTAATTTGTCAATGCCTATCTCCCCCCCCCCCCCCACACACACACACTCTCTCTCTCTCTCTCATTCTCACTTTTTTTAAAAAACATAGTTTAGTTTATTATGATAGTTTGAAATTTGTTCTTGTACTAAACAGTTTTATTTTTTACATTCACATTGGGTTTGCGTCACCCATTATCATATTTATAGATATCACCTCTCGGCACACCTCGGCCAATTCATACTGGCAACGGAATCAGCAAAGGTTTGTCGAATGAGATTATTTAGCACATGTATGCTGACGATGCAGTGTGGTCAGTTAAAATCATTTGTGTTTTAATTGGATTATATGGATTATATTTCATGAATTCGTTGTCACGACCTATGACATTCGGTAAGTACAAGATTTAGTATAGATTGCATAAAAATAAATAAATGCAAATGGTTAGGTTGAAGTTCAAAAAGGGTCAACATGGTCAAAGATCATCGCATGCCACAGTCGACAAATTTCACATTGTCAAGTTATCTCCCGTTGCGGACATTCAGTATATAACAGACGCAGATCCAGAATTTTTTTTTCAGAAAGGGGGGGGGGGGGGCGTCACACCTCAGTCAAAAAAATCAGCCCAAGATTTCCTGAGATGGAAATAAAAAATAATAATAAAAACAATGATGGTGGAGTCCCTGTCTTCTAAGGGGGAGGATGTCCAAAGTCATTTTTATTCTCTACAGTACATATATAGTCTTATTTAAATAACTGCTAATTCCAGGGGGGGGGGGGGTCTGATCTCCCTAGCCACTGACTCCCTGTACCTGAAATGACAATTGATCTTCTGACTCCATAATAGTAGAAAATTTTTTCATTTGACTATTTATACATATTTTGTTTCCTATGTTTATGTATTTTTGTTTGTCCACGGAAACTTTAACCTTGCCCATATTTTTTAAGTGGATTGGGCTATACACATGGCTTCAATATTTCATAGGTAAATTTCTTTTGGCAAAACCTTTTAATGGGTACCACCAATTTTGACCTCTTGATCTCTTGACCTTGGAGTTTGACCCAATTTTACAAGAAAAATACCTTGAACTTGGCGTAAGTTTTGAACAGGTGGTGCTAGGACTTTCATGCTCTTACATGTGTATTCATTGTGAACTTTCAACAGGTATAATTATTTTTGACCTAGACCTTAGAGTTGAATCCAATTTAACTTTAACCTTGGCAATAACTTTTGAACAGGTGAGGAAGTTCTAGGGATTTCTCCCTTTTTTCACATTTGTATTCCTTGTGACAAGACTTTCCCTTTGATACCAACAATTTAGACCCTTTGACCTTGACCTTGGAGTTTGACTTACATTTGAGAAACTTCAACCTTTGCCAAAAGCTGCCATAACAGTTGCTGTCACAACAAACAAACAAATTACTAAAAAAAAAACACAGAATACATGTACATATTTTATATTCAACAGATATACATCTGGTCATATCTCTAGTTCTCCCTTGAATGAGACATGGGGATATAAATTTTAAAAAATAATTATAAGAGTTGAAAAGGTTGTGCATATTGAAATATACTAAGCTCTGCGGATGAATTAGATATACCAGTTTAGCTTTATTTTGCTACCCAAAGCACCTTGATTAACTATTTATAAGCATACTGTTTTCTGAAATGTACTGATTTCTGTTGTCCATCTGTTTATCTGCAAACTTTTCACATTAACTTCTTAAGAACCACTGGGCTAATTTCAACCAATTTACATTTAAATATGCAGGGTACTTTTTAAGCGCCCGGATCGATAGATCCCGGGCGTATATTGTTTTTGTCCTGTCTTTTTGTCTGTTTGTATCTGTTTGTCTGTTTGTCAACTTTAACCTTGGCCATAACTTTTGAACAATAAGGGATAGAGACTTCATATTTGGTAAGCATACTCCACTAATAAAGTCCTTTCAAATGACTTCAAGGTCAATGACCTTGTGACCTTGACTAAGACTTATATGCTAAAAATAGCTTTTTCCACTGTTTGTCATAACTTTTGAACCATAGGAGATAGGGACTTCATATTTGGTATGCATACTCCACTAATAGAGTCCTTTCAAATGACATCAAGGTCAATGATCTTGTGACTTTGACTGTGACCTATATGCTAAAAATAGCTTTTTACACTTTTTGCCATAACTTTTGAACCATCAGAGATAAGGACTTCATATTTGGTATGCATACTCCACCGATTAAGTTCTTTCAAATAACACCATGGTCAATGACTTTGTGACCTTGACTGTGACCTATATTCTAAAAATAGCTTTTTCCACTGTTTGTCATAACTTTTGAACCATAGGAGATAGGGACTTCATATTTGATATGCATACTCCACCGATAAAGTCCTTTCAAACGACGGCAAGGTCAATGATCTTGTGACCTTGACTGTGACGGATATGCTAAAAATAGCTCTTTACACTTTTTGCCACAACTTTTGAACCATAGGAGATAGGGACTTCATATTTAGTACGCATACTCCACTGATTAAGTTCTTTCGAATGACACCATGGTCAATGACCTTGTGACCTTGACTGTGATCAATATGCTAAAAGAAGATTTTTTTAACTTTGTTGCCGCCGGGCGCGTAGTGTTTCACAAACACATCTTGTTCCAACATAAATCTTCTTCTCAAGAACAGCAAAGACATTTATTGTCCCCATTTTTGCTAAAGGTAGGGTACATTAAATCTCATTTGTTTGTCAATCTGCCCATCTGTCACAATAGATTTAACCTTGGTCATCATGGTCGTATATTTTGAATGAGAAGAGATAGGACTTTTATATTAAACATGTGTATTAGTATTAAATGGGACAATACCATTCTACATACACTATGATTTTCATTACCCATGATCTTGAAGTTTGACCTAATTTCCTTAAAAAATTAATTGCTTTGAATTGATCATTTTGAAAGATAAATGAAAGGGCATTCATATTACCTGTGATAAGACCTTCCAAAATGTATCATGACTTTTTGACTCTGTGACCTTGACCTTGAAGTTTAACTTAGTTTTCATTAATGTTGTATTTCCTTTTCATTGAGAAGAGATTTGACTTTCACATTTCAAGTGAACATTACCCATAACAAGAGGCTCCCAACATGCTATGATTTTTTACCCCTTGACCTTGATGTTTTAACAAAATTTCAAAAGAGTGAACTCTCCCAAAAGATGATAAGACCACTGTTTAAAACAAAAAAGGAGTTTAGGGAAGACTGGGCTTTTTCCATAAAAAACGTCATTTTTCAACCCTCATTTGACCCCCCGGGCAAAATCAAAATTCCGAAACCTAACTGCACATCTACATGACCCAACCAACCATCTCCCAAAAATGATTAGGATGCTGAATAAAATGTAAGAGGAGTTCAGGGAAGATGGGGCTTTTTCCATAAAAAACATCATTTTTCGACCCTTATTTGACTCCCCGGGGCAAAATCAAAACTCCGAAACCTACCTGCACATCTGCATGACCCCACCAATCATCTCCCAAAAATGATTAGGATGCTGAATAAAATGTAAGAGGAGTTCAGGGAAGATGGAGATTTTTGCATAAAAAACGTCATTTTTCGACCCCCATTTGATCCCCCAGGGCAAAATCAAAATTCCAAAACCTTACTGCACATCTACATGACCCCACAAACCATCTCCTAAAAGCTGGTTAGGCTACTGAGTAAAATGTAGAAGGAGTTCAGGGAAGACGGGGCTTTTTGGACAAAAAACGTCATTTTTCGACCCCCATTTGACCCCCCGGGGCAAAATCGAAATTCCAAAACCTTACTGCACATCTACATGACCCCACCAACCATCTCCCAAAAGATGATTAGGCTACTGAGTAAAATGTAAGAGGAGTTCAGGGAAGACGGAGCTTTTTGCTTAAAAAACGTCATTTTTCGACCCCCATTTGACCCCCTGGGGCAAAATCAAAATTCCAAAAGCTTACTGCACATCTACATGACCCTACCAACCATCTCCCAAAAGCTGGTTAGGCTACTGAGTAAAATGTAGAAGGAGTTCAGGGAAGACGGGGCTTTTTGGACAAAAAACGTCATTTCTCGACCCCCATTTGACCCCCCAGGGCAAAATCGAAAATCCAAAACCTTACTGCACATCTACATGACCCCACCAACCATCTCCCAAAAGCTGGTTAGGCTACTGAGTAAAATGTAAGAGGAGTTCAGGGAAGATAGAGCTTTTTGCTTAAAAAACGTCATTTTTCGACCCCCATTTGACCCCCTGGGGCAAAATCAAAATTCCAAAACCTTACTGCACATCTACATGACCCCACCAACCATCTCCCAAAACCTGGTTAGGCTACTGAGTAAAATGTAGAAGGAGTTCAGGGAAGACGGGGCTTTTTGGACAGAAAACGTCATTTCTCGACCCCCATTTGACCCCCCAGGGCAAAATCGAAAATCCAAAACCTTACTGCACATCTACATGACCCCACCAACCATCTCCCAAAAGCTGGTTAGGCTACTGTGTAAAATGTAGGAGGAGTTCAGGGAAGAAAAGTGTGACAGACGGACGGACGGACGGACGGACGGACATGAGTAACAACAATATACCCGAACTTTCTTTAGAAAGTGCGGGTATAAAAATACCACGAAAACGTATATACCACGAAAAGACATGACGGGACGGAGCATAGCTTTCGAGTAAAGAATACGTTGTGAGACATCAAAATCATTTGTATTTGATAGCAGAATATTTTTGAATTAATTAGGGAAAAATACTATGGAAAATATCAAGTCATCTTGAATGTTATACAATTTTGTTGTTAGTTATCCTTTGTAGTCTATATTAAATAAAACATTAAAAGCAATATGAGCTGCAACTTTGATGTCGAAATTTTTAATTGTAAAATTGTAAATAACTACTTCAATGACCAAAAAAAAAAAGACTTTAATAAACTTCTGTTGTTCGTATTTGAGATGGAAGAACTATTTATAAGCTTCGATGGAATCAAAATTACATTATTGCCGTCCTATACAATAATGATTTCTTAATATATAAAAGTGTATTTTGGATTGCATATAGAAATCTTTCTTCAGTTCTTCAGTCTAATTGATCATAAAGGTTTAAATTAAATACAATTTTATCATAATAACTCATTTTAACAGCAAAATAGAATTGTTAAAATTGCAGCTCATATTGCTTTAAATTTGGAATAGATGTGTCATACTCTTTCCCGTTTTTTAGTCCATTTTCACTTGAATAAATTGAGCCGACATATAAATAAAAAAAGTTTTTTATTGATTAAACTTCTTCGACATAGATAAATGTCGAATTGAATGCCCCAGCAGATGTTTTCGCGTGTGAAAGTTAAGAAAAAAGTTTTGAAATGTTCTAACTATTCATCGCTCGATTACAGCTCTTTTTTCCAGTAGTGCATTCGAATCAAATACTGCATTCTTCACCACGGACAGATATCATTAAGCATTTTGCTTTTCAAGTCAACGTCTCATTTTCAGTCTCTTGTTTTTAATAGTCGATAGTTAAGTAACGACTCCTCACAAATGAAGTACACATAGAAAAAAAAATAAATCTAAAACAATTTTTATGATGCAATGCGCAAGCAGGTTTTGGTTATTGACTATGCATAAATAAAATAATTTCATCGGTTAATGAGGTTAAAGGGCAAAGTTTTTATGTAATTTTTTTTTACTTATTATTGAGTAATGTGATGTTTCAGATGTGGGCTACTATTTGAGCAGAACAGACGTCACGTATGACGTACATTGTTGTGGAGCTGTTTCCTCTGTCGAGTTCAAGGCCACGACTTCCGGAACATTTAAGTTTCAAATATGGCGAAACTATGTCTTAGTGTCCGAGACATCAGTATCAGCCTCAGGTGTTTAGGAATGGGTGTATTTCATATTTTAATGACATTTAAAACCTGGAAAACAGCAGAAATCTATATATGTTGTATTCACCTAATTTTTATATATTCGATAGATACATAAGAAATACATCTTCAACGCTTTAGAGTTTTTCTTTCTTTTTGTAAATTTTGCCTTTCAAGACAATTCTCTTGTGTTTTCTTTCTAGCTGGATATCAAAAACATAATTTCTCCCCGAAACTTGCAGTACAAGCCAAGGACGTTATTGGGTGGTAAGTTAATTTCAAAATTTGTTTAATGAAGTGCGATATTTCTTTGATGAATTAGCAAGAAAAATATCAGACACCTACTGTATCATTATGTACGTAATATTCCTCTTTATCTCGTAATAAACTTTTATTTTCTGAAAGGCATGCTCAATAAGTAATGAAATATACGTCTTTTTATAAGAAATGCAGATGTGATGCATTTATTTTTTTTACAGTCCAAAAGTACAAAGATATAATCTCAAAAACTACATGTTCATTCCTGTTGTCTTTGCAAAGAGTTTGACCTTTAAAGTAAGCCTTGTCACAATACTAAATTTAAAACTGTTTGTCTCTACTAAGAATACAAAGAAGATGGGGAAAGTAGGCGTGCAGAAAACTTATAGCTTCAGATATTAAATAGAATCATATTTAATTTGTTAATCTAAATTAATATTCTATTATTAAAATTTATAGATTGATGAGAAAGAAACCTTTTCTGAGAGAAAAAACCTCAGGAAAATTATTCTTTTTTAAAATTTAAGATGGTATTCCTGGGATTCGAACAGTAAAAATCCGGAGTATCCTTTTGCTTTGAGACTAACGCGCTTACCACTACGCTACATGGCCCATGATGAATTTGGGTATTTAAATCATGTTTGTGACATGACCCTTTGTTTAATGGACTTACAGTATTTCTTGGAAAGATGCGAATGTTATGTCGTTTAAGTGTACTTTAAGGTATAGTGGGTCTTTGCTCCATGTTTTTGTAAAAGAAAAAATGTATATATTTCATTGCAGACTTTTTTCATTATCTTTAAAAAAATTGATTAAAGACCCACACATAATTTAAAAAATTGTTAAAGTTTTAGAAATTGATCGTTTTTGTTCTCTTTAGTGTGTGTATGCTTCTTTGAAAAAAAAAACTTCTGGAGACTGTATATTTAAGACATGTTATTGAGATTCGGAAAGAAAATAAGTAGACTAAAATCCATATAGAGATCAAAAATGTCAATTTTATCAATTGTCAGATTAAAAGTGAAAAAAAAAAATTGCTAAGACCCCACACGTATCATACCACAATAGTTTATATTAAAGTAGCGGGCAAAGGAAATTAATCTAAAAAATTGATTTATCTCAGATGAATGCCTTATTTTCTTACAGAAACCCAAAAGAAAATACACGTTCAATGGATCAAGGGACTATCCAGATTTAAACATTTAATGATTAAATTGTTGACATGGTTGTACAAATAATAAGCTATGAAAATTTACAAATAAAACAAGTACACTCGTGAAGCTATAAAGTTGTTTTTAAGGTAGTCCGATCCTCAGGTTAATAAAAATTAGCGGTTAAGTAATCAAAAATACTCAAAAAAGCATCTCTGAATCCACAAAGTTTTGTAAATTCATTCATAGTATTTCGTTAAAGCTAAAGATTAAAATTAATTATATTACATGTATAAAGGAAAAATTGTCAAATCTGCAATATTTTTGCAGAAAAAGCGAATTGGAATATCAGCAATCCATTTTCGAATTGCAAATTGATCAACAAATATATTTTAGGTCAAAGATCCAAGCATTCAGAGAAATTGTCATGATTTTTATAGTGGCTTTTGGGTCTCTTATTTCACATTCATTTGTAATTTGATAATTTAGAATGCTAACTTGGTGTTGGTTATGGGATTTATCCCACATCTGAACATCTATGGGAGTATATGTCCCACATATCATGTCTTATGGGATTTATTTCATATTTGGCAATAAATTGGAGAAAATATCCCACTTGTCAGTATCCATAGGATTTATCCCATTCGAACAAATTTGTGGAAGAAAAAATCCTAATGGAAGAAAAAATCCTATCTGACATTTTTTCTCCCATCTGAATTTTTTTCTCCCATGGGAGAATGGTGGGATAGCTGGTGAGACTGAAAATTGCATGGGATTCTGATATTTAGGACTTCATATCTTTTAAAGTAGAGATGTTTATAAGTTCAACATGAGAATATATGATAGTGCTAAAAAATCCACCAGGTGCTATAAAATTTTTTGGACATGATAATTAGAAATAGTAGTAGAAAGTCCGGACTATGTCGAGTCCGGAGTTAAATGTCGCACTGTTATACGTTTTTGGTATTTTTGTCTTCTATTTCCGTCATGTGTTCTATAATACATAGTGTAAAAGGCTTTTGCTATCATTGCAAGACGACACAAATCACTTCTTATTTCATATTATGCTAATAAGTAATGTTATCATAAGGCTGGATTTAAAAACATCTTATTTCTCTAAAACTGTATTATTTATTTTCCTTTTATAAGGTACAAATGTCTACTTTTTAAAGACGTTTCTAAGCCTTCCAAAAACCTTGAATCTTATAAAGATAAATAAAATGAAGATTGTTACATAAAAAAATTCGTTTTTAAGCTTCATTTTGATGCATTTCAAATTAAATATTAATTTTCGGAGTTATCTTTCCTGGCTGAGGATCGGATATCCTTAATTGAAAAAGTTGCAAATTAATTCAAGGAAAGCAAAGTTGTGATAAGTCATAATAATAGAGAAGCAACCGTTAGAGTAATATCAGGCTTATAAAAATCATGACCCTAAGGGTTTAGGTAGTGTGAAACCACAATGAGGATCAGCATGGCATTGAAATATATAGAAAAAAAAGTTTTGAAAAATCTTCTATGAAGAACAGTGACGTCGTGGGTAATCATATTTATATGGAAGTATCTTCAAGTTTTGTTGATTCAAATTTAAAAAAAAATCAACAGGAAAATAAAGGATAAAATCTATGTCATATTAACTTTCGTGAGCGAGGGAACCCATCGATCTCATTCATGGCTTTCTTATGTTTAATGACCTCTTTATCATCTTTTTAGGATTATATATTATGTATCCAGTCATGTACAACAATTTTCGTTACGTAGAAGCAAATTTTAATACGTTAAACATCTTTGAAATTAGCCAGCTAATCGCTTCGGATTCAGTTCTTAAAAATTGAAGAGATATACATTTACCGTTAGATATAACGGGTATCTATAGGATAGGGATTGAAATCATGAAATAAAATATTGCAGAAAGATAGGCGGTTACTTTTTGTGACTCGGCTAAAAAATACTAAAAAATATAACTGGGTTTTAAAAGATCTGAAATGCTTATAAAATGTATTTGTTTGTTCTAAAAAATTAGTATACAGATGATAAAACATATGTAGATCTCTCGTTTCACCCTGTATTTAAGTATAAGACTTTTCATTTGAGAAACATTTACCCCACATAATACATATCTTTAATAAAGAGAAAAAGCTATTAATATTTTTTCTATATATCTTTCCATGCCTTTAGGTACTCACCTGGAGTTAACCCTATTGGCATTGCCTCCACCTGTTCCGGAGACTTATGTACCAGTGGGACAAAACGAGCGACCAACATGGGAACAGTAGCAGTGGGGGCGTCTTATTCATGGTCTAACGCCACTGAACTGCCAGACACGGCATTTGCTATCAAATTAACAATAGACAACAGTAATTACTTTTAACAATATTAAACTATTTTGTTATACTCATTAGAATTTACTTGTCTTTATTATCACACCCCTTGTTTTCCGTATTTTTGCTAATGTTGCGCGTCCTCCTAACGGACTGGGTGATATTTCCATGAAAATGATCAGATGGTTCTTCTTTCCCACTTTTCAATTCTAAATTTTCTGGATTATAGATTTAATATTTTCCTTTATGCACAAAAGCAGTTGATTGTCGTACACATGTAGTAATAATTTTATTATGATCAACAATTAACAAAGCTCTGAATTTATTATCATTTTAATAAACGAAGCCAAATTTGCTACGACATACGCTAGCAAGTAGCATTGACCAAATGTGAAATGAATGTTTACAACGTGATTTATTTTCTAAAACGTCTGATCAGGTGAATAAGGTTTTAAAAGTTTATGCGAGTTCACGACAGATTATAAATAATTGTTAATAATGATGAAGACCATGTCTCAAATGCTTTTTTTTTTAAAGTTTGTCATAATTCTTCTGTAGTTATAACAGAAGTGTTAACTGCAACTCGCACTCTCTGCTAGTGTTCGTATTTACACCCTTCTTTTACCACATATAATCACACTGTCCTAAAGTGTCTCGGACTTCTAAAATACGCTTCAAGTGTACCTCCTACTTATCTTACTTATACCCAGTCTTCTACAATACAGATTAAAGTAAATTTTCTTTATAGGCACAGTTCCTACTTATACCCCGACTTCTCCAGTGTACGTATCTGAGCTTCTCGCTGTGGGATCCATTATTACTGTCTTCAGGGTTACAGATGACACCGGTGATGTAATAACCTATAGCAATCCATCCAGTCCGTACTTTTCCTTTGATCAGCTTTCAGGTCAAGCATATTATTGAATGATTATAATAGTTCTCTTCAGAAAAAATTAATGAGAAAGTAGATTCATTCAAAATTTTCTCTGGATATGCATTACATGCTGTAAAAACTATAGAGACGTAGAATTTTAATCTGGTATTTTATCACCGTGATAATTTGTAAAGACAAAAGCCAATTATAACAAAAGCAAATAACATACACAGTATTGTGCCATCAGTGATCGTCCAAATTCAAAATGGCCGCAGCTATTGCACAACTCGCTTGGTGAAAAAAAATGGAATAAAAAATAAACAATTAACTTTCTTACCTCAATATTTAGTTATGTAACTTTCTGATCGTAATACTCTTTGTACTCTCCGTGGGATTGACCTGTAAAGGCTTTGCATGTAGTTAATCGGGATATTAGTCCACATCCGTCTAATGGCCATCTCCAGTTCATTTTTAGAGGTGATAATTCTGTTGCCATTTTTCAGTTCTCGTTTGATTCTGATCCATACATTCTCTATAATGTTTAAATCGGGACTCTGTGCTGGCCAGACCAAAGAGTGAATGTTATTTGTATCTTGAATTCTTGCACCAAACGGGCTCTATGTATGGGTGCATTGTCGCCTTGGAAAATATAATTATTACTAGGAATATGACGCACAATAACCGGCCACAAGTGTTCATCAATGATATCTATCTATCTATCTATCTATCTATCTATCTATCTATCTATCTATCTATCTATCTATCTATCTATCTATCTATCTATCTATCTATCTATCTATATATATATATATATATATATATATATATATATATATATATATATATATATATATATATATATATATATATATATACAGTAAGTGTGCCTACACCATTAAAGGTTACACATCCCCATACCATCAAACTGAACTTGGGCCTTGGAAGTTGCGATAAACGACAGGGTAGCCAGTCCTCGCCGACCTTTCTCCAGATAAATACGCGACTATCAGATCCAATGTCTACTTTACATTCATCACTGAATATTTCTCTCTGCCAGTAATAGTCGACAGTTTTGTAGCGGTTGCCTCTGCACCAAGAAAGCCGAGCTTTACGATTGACTTCACGAATTCGGATTCGTTTTCTTACAACTCTCCTGAAATACCCCTGCTTATATAACGTTCTCTGCATAGTTCCTTTGGTACATACTCTATTTTGGTTAAATAATGCAGTAACATCGGACAAACTTCGTTTTCTGTTTTCTTTTACTGACCTCAAAAGTTGTCGTGCATCTCTGTCATCCAGTTTTGACTTCTTCCGTTTTCTTGGTAGTTTTTCTATATTACCTCGCTTCCGAAAACGATCAATCACAGACGTAATTGTAGTGCGGGGTATTTCCAATCTTCGAGAAATTTCTCGTTGTTTAAGTCCCGTCACATATAAAGAAATAACTATTTCTTTGACATCATTACTCAACTCTTTCCGAGCAGGAGCCATCTTGTTTACATTGACAATACAAGCAGCAGACGAGAGTTTGTGATGTGTAAATTTGTCAAGTGATAGTCACGAGGACATTCTTAACATAGCGACATTTTCACCAACAGCAGTACCTTTATTTATTTATTGTATGCAGATAAAGTTTACTAAAACACCAAATAATACACATTGCACGTGAATTTGGACGATCACTAATGGCACAATACTGTAGTTATTACTGTAATAATGATATAAAATATGAAAAAAATATGTAAAGTGTTTCTTTTCTAATTTTCTGCATGCCCACTTCAAAACTTATGACGAAAAAAATATTAGTAACAAATATGTAACAAATACGCGATATGCTTTTAAAATCTCCTTTATATTGCTTACTCGTAATTAAAAATTTTAACAGATTAAAGATAGTTACTGATGCGTTTACTATCCTTTGCTAACAAATAACCTTTTTTCGTTTTTTTAAGGAAAATGTTTAAAAATGCAAATTTAAACCAATGAGAATTTAGTTACTATAAAAGAAAACAAGAATGACATGTTCCAAGATCAGAAACTTCGAAAAATGAAACACGTGGAATAAGAAGTGTTAATTTTCTAGCACTCTAATGTTGAGAAATTTGTAGGTGCAATAAAGCAGTTTAATAATATAATCATCCATTGAAGATTTCTTCTACATTATACAGGGGAAATAACTTTGATTTCACCATTACCCACTCCACATGTAGAGACACCTTACATTCTTACAATCGATGTTATGGACTCCTGTTTCAACACAGCCACTGCCACCGTTAACATCACCTCATTTTTTGTTGTATGCTGAAATTGTAACCCTGTTGTTAAATTGATTGCGTTTGTTTTAATTGCTTTTTAAAACCTTTTGTAATACAAATTGTAAGGAAAAAAGATTATTTTTTTTTTATTACAGAACATATTTTTATGACATCATCTAATTAATTAAAATAACATGTACTTCCTTGAGCATTCAATTGCATCAAATATGTTCAACTTTCAAAATAAGTAAAACTCTGTTTTATTTTCGTCATTTGATTTAGAACTAGCTAGTTTATCAAACTTTTTAGCCTCCAGCCTTTCATAACTTGCCGACGGAAGTGGAGATAGGCGATGATGTTAAAGCAGAGACCCTTCTGATTATTATCAATATGACGGATGGATACGCATCTAGCATTATTTGTACCAAGACTTCCATGTTTCCTGAAACCCAGTTCTTCAGACTCGATGATTATATGAATGGCAGTAAGTCGCTCGATAAAAGTGTGTATTTAATTTAGAAATCTAATAATTTTTAAATCCCTTACTCGTCACAGGAAGGTTGTAAAATACTGGTTTCTATATTTTGATAGGTTATTGATTGAATTAATATTACGCAACATTAACACTATGAGTATTTATTTTAAAATGCGAAGATAAGAAATAGAAATTACTTTAAAAGGTTAAGATAATGTGCTTAGCTGACAAAAATCTCTGAAACAAGAGGTGGGATCAGGTGCAAAGGAGAAGAAAGCATTCCCTTTCTACCTTCACACTCGCCATGTTCTCCATATTTAAATCGGATAGATGGAAAATTCGTAGGCAATTCCGTTCAAAACCTTTGTATAAATGACGTCAGTCAACTATTATTTCTTAACTACAGATTATTCTTGTTGAATTTTTTTTACCTCAAGTATCTAAAAATTTTTGATTTTGTTGATAATTTTCATGTATTTTTGATATTCCTTCATGTTTGAAATTGTTCGTACTGTAACGTGTGCCATGTCTATATAAACATGTGGACACGTACCCGGTTACACCCGGGATTTCTACCGTGCAAATGAAAACATATGTTTTGTCTATTTGGACAAGAACTTAATCAATATATTTACTGTGATTATTCAAACTATATACTTGATAAATGTATTTACTATGATTTTTACAATAATCACAATTAAATCAAGGGACAATTGATACTTGACCACTTGTCCTAACCTTTAACTAGTGTTCCCGGACAACAGGCCTAACCAAGGGTCCTGGTTACTGACAAGAGATCTCTTATCAACTAGCATCTCCAGATCACTTGGATATAAGGGTACAGACTTATTAATTAACCCTTTATTTCCAATGCCAAAGCTACGATGGTCGACCAGTTGACGTAACCTATTAAATAAGACTTATCCAGCCCTACAGTAACCTTCTACTGTAAATTAGCTTATTCAGCGTCCTCACTACTATATCACTCTTATTTGGCCACTTTTCAACTCTGCTGTGGCAAATGAACTCTCAGACAAACTTTCTATGAAAGACTCTTCCAACAGACTGTATAATTCTGCCAATACCCATTATATATATAGCAAAGGGCTAATCTATTTCATGGTAGGGGAGACAGGTTATTCCTTGCCAAAAACCATAACAACCCGATTAACATTGATTGGTACAACCCTGATTTATTACAGTACATATACTCTGAACATTATTCTTCACATTATTTCGTTGCTTTGTATTTATTAATGAATCAATATGACGGACGCTGAATATGGAACTAAAAATAACGTTTCTAATAAATTTGTTATAAGATTTAAATAAAAAACATGAATGCTTTATAGACTTTCTAATAGAAATCATACAACTTATTTTACAGCTGCTGCGGTTTACCTCAATGCAGATTCTAAGTTGGACTTTAACACAGTTGAGGAATATAACATGACCATTACATGTAATGGGAGTACATCTCTTGAATCTGGACTGACCATCAGAATACTGGATAAATCCACAAAAGTTGCAGGTATGTACCGGGGTATTTACCCTTTATATGATTTTTATCTTCGACTACAAAATTCATCAAACTTCATGTATGCATTTTAAGCAATGTTGGAAGTTAACACACAGATATGCATATTTCCATTTTGCATGAATATTGTTATTCAAAAATATATAAACCATAAAAAATTTTGTTTTTTAGAATTTGTAGACACAAGTATCTACTCCTAGTTATTAAAATTCAATTCCTATATTCCTTTATCGGTACATTGTTTTCGAATGGTCGATGTAATTGCCCTTTGGCGTGAACTTACATCTCAAAACCCCGCCTCCCATATGAACATAATGGCAGTGTAGATGTTTTGCTCTGGAAATCCAAAATATATGTCAGATCAAAAAGTAAAATAGGAGGTGCACAATGGCAATATGTAATGAAGATTCTGTGAAAGTTTCATTAAATTTCCTTCAGTGGTATGAGAGGAGTTGCGGATGAGAGATGGGTACCCCAAAGTATAACAGACGGACGGATGGACGGACGGACGTACAGACGGACGGACGGACGGACGGACGGAAATACCGATTACTATATACCCTCCCACTTTTCAAGCGGGGGGTATAATAAAAGATTACCATTGTGCAAGATTTCCTTTAAAAAAAAAGTATAATATAACGGTTTTTACAACTTAACGCCAAAAATTTCCATATATGTATGTAACACTGACAAATTCTCTTTGGATCTTGCAAATTTTTTACAATTAGTGAATCACATCCTGTATTCTGCAATCTGATTGTGAATTAAAACTTAGGACCGTTGCTATTTTGTCTGAAAATTTGGTAATAGCTTTGACATCTGTTCTACACCTCAACCCAAGAAATCTACCACAGTCAAAACTGTATATATATCAAATGGAAAACTTTAATTTAATTTTAACCATGACAACTAAGTTCCGTTTGCACTCTTAGGCGTGATGTGTGGGTTTTTTAAATAATTGATTTTCAGTGCAATTTCTTTTCAGATAACCCAGACCTGCCTGAAGCTGTGATTGTGGTCATATGTATAGCATCCATTTTTGCTCTTGTTGGTTTTGGTCTAGGTACTTATTGTCTCCATTCAAAGGTAAGATTAAAAATATTTTCAGCTAGAAAAGAAAACTCTGTGTAATCTCAAATGCATATTTTAATTCAAGTTCTATTATATGTATCATATTATCTCATAATGTTATATTTATTATTATATACTTTTATACAATATATTTGAAACATGTCATCCAAAAACAGGACTAATTAATAACTAAAATTTTCTTAGAAAGTGATTAAAGCGATAAGGCAATGCGTCCTAAATAGCAAGCACTAAGTAAGCCCCAAATAAGAGCTAAAAAAGAACGAATTTTGTAGGCTTTCAGAGATTGGAAAGAAAACAAAAAAATTGTATATTTTCTCCTGAATTTCTCTAACAAAAACGCTCAAATAAAATAAAATCAGAATCTCTTAAAACGCGTTTAATTAATGTATTTTCTTTTATTTTAGCTGCAGAAATCAAACCAGAAAAGAATAAATGCCTTAGACAATTGATGTTGAATTTTAGTAAGACAGACAAAGATTACAGGAAGAAAGAGAGTACTTGGCAGCGTTTACGAATTTATATTTGAATGATTTATGTCATGTACGTAAATGAAATAAAAACAATATTATGTAGAACAGATATCTTTTTTCTTTAATACAGTAAAGAGAAATAACACGTTAGAGTTACCATTTTCATACATTGTATCCTAAGGGGTGTTAAGAAAGTTCGTTCCGTAATGAAATATATTTGAAAATTTCAAAGTAGTATTTAACTGACAAGATTAATTTTCCAGTCTGACATAATCAAAAGATTGTGCTCTCGATTTCTAGAAATTAATTTTTGACAGGAAATTATAGGATTTCTTTCCATATGAAAATATACATAACCATCTTTAAAACACCCAAATGACAAAAGTGCTGGTCATTTTGTGTGAAAATGTGGGATTATTTACTTCTGTTTCTTCGCAGCTTATCTGGCATTATATAGAACTGATGAGGTTAGTTAAAAGAAAGATTAGTCACTTTTCCAAAGAATAGTTTTGTCATATTGGAATTCTATGCTGACTTGATGAGTTTTGCATAGGTATTTGAAAGGATGAATTGACCTGTGTGCTTTAGATATTTCACAAATATGCTGCATCCCTGATTTTTCTGTACAGACATCATCTGCTTCAATACCTGCCCTCCCTTTTTCATTGCAACCAAACCCAATTAAAACCTTATCAGTAGCAAGAATGGACTCTGTGGACATGAAATGCCACAAACTATAAATATCTTCTCATTGTATTTCTTTTCGAAAAATGAAAGAAAAATTGGGAATGAACTTTCTTTACACCCTTTACATTAAATCACTTAGATAAGAGGGGTTATTCTACTGTCAGTTTAGTGGATGTAATCTCTAAATTTCTTTAGACAATAGTCAGAACTATCACTTTTATCAAATTCATTTTGTTTAATTTGATAAATTTACGCGATATATTAAATCTTTCATTTTATTAAAAAAACCACACTGATTGCTTGGGTGACCTCACATGCTGGTATATAGCAAAAGATCAATCGCTAAATTGAACAACTTCATTTCCGTGGCCATTTGGTCATCGCAAACAAACATTATATTTCCATGGGACTTCCCTTTCCCTAAACAAAATATAATGTTATTTTCTCAGACTATTTTGGGTTAACTGCTCCCCCCCCCCCCTTTTTAACATGTACATAATGTTTCATAATTGAGCCAGCCATAAGAATTAGTTTATCATTGAACTTTTAAATCTGGTAAGTGAGAGAATAAAAAAGGGGAAAATCTTCAAAACTTTAAACACCAATGAATTTTTTTTCCTTTGTCAAACCAACATAATTGGTCCTCATGACAACTCTAAACAAGTCTGTAGAGCTGATATGGTTAGCAGTTTTTATTGTTGATAGACCTATGCGACAACGTTTTTCTACAGGAAATAAATGAGAAATATTCAGAGGTTGTAAATACGATTTTGAATAATCCATCCTGTTCGTTATTATTATTATTGATTTATCTATATTATTATTATTTTTCATTTTTTTTTACATTTAAAATCCTTAGATTAATGAGAGTGAGATTTTTTCATCGATGGCTTTTGAAAGACGTCATATCAATATCAAGATAGAGATAGAATTTGTTCATATATTACGAGAAAGTGAAAGAAGATATGTAAATGCATAATAAGAGAAAGTGAACTGGACGTTTTCGTGAAAATATCTTTTCCCCAAACAAGAAAAATCAATAAAATAAAACAAAGTTTTGAAAAAGATATCAAATAAAAATATTAAAAACAAGATGTGTTGAGAAACTCTTAGGCCCCTGTTTGTCAGTTTATAGCGTTGATTGAAGTTTTTCAAATGCAAGTCTGAATCCAAGCTCAAAGTCCAAGGTAGATGTCAAATGTTGGTTTTCAGAGAGAGTTCTTATCTCAAGGAATACACCTGTGAAATATGAAAGCTCTAGTACTAGTTGTTCAAAAGTTATGGCCACGGTAAAAGTTTTTTTTTTTAAAATGAGTCAAACTTTAAGATCGAGGTCAAAAGGTCAGAAAATATGTATACCAATTGAAAGGTCATTTAAGAATAAATACACACGTTATGTATGAAAACCCTAGCACCAACTGTTCAAAAGTTATGGCCAAGGTTAAAGTTGATTGTTTTGTGTAGGATGGTCAAACTGCAGGGTCAAAGTCTAGAGGTCAAATTTGGTGGTACCCAAAGAAAGGTCTTGTCACAAGAAATACAGCTGGGAAAAATAAAAGACAACCCAGTTATGGACAAGGTAAAAGTTTTGCAGACAGACAAATAGACAGATAGATTGACAGGGCAAAAGCTATATATCCCGATTCTTCGATTACGAGGGAATCGAAATGATGAAAATGCATACCAAGTATTTTTTTTACAATCCTGATTGATGAAATATTAGCAAGCGCTTTTAAGAGTCAACAATATTACAATATATGTATTATAAGTATGGAAGCTTGAAAAGCAGTTGGTTATTTTTTTTTCAGGAATTCCAAAGCACTATGTTGATATGCTGACAGAAAACAAGACAGCCCAAAATACAGCTAAACAGACAGACAGACCAAAATTGATATCCACCACTTTCAGTGAAAGCTGGAGAAAATTAAATTTCCATTAGATATGATGGCATATTTCTGCCCCCCCCCCCCTACATGCAAGTGAAAATAAAATTATGTTAACATGCAACATAAGACATGAAACATATTTATACAACATGTAAGTTAATTATGATGACATGCAAGTAATCTTATAAGAAAAAAAAAATAATTATGGGTAAATATACCAACTACCGCCTTCATCTGACATTGTAGATGCAAGATTCAACATAGTTATGTAGACATGCGACTTATTTATGTCACCATGCATGCTATTTATATAGACATGCATCTTATTAATGTCAACATGCAAGATAATTATGTCAACATGCGACTTATTTATGTGAACATGCAAAATAATATTATGTTATCATGCAAATATGTAAATTGATATGCAAGTTATTATCTTGCATGTTGACATTAATAAGTTGCATGTGAACATAAAATTAATATCCTGCATGTCTTCATAATATCTCGGATGTTAACATTAGTATTTCGCATGTTAACTTTGGTATCTTGCATGTTGACATAAATAAGTTGCATGTCTTCATAATTAACTCGCATGTTGACATAAATATCTTAATTGCATCTATACATAATTAACTCGCATGTTGACATAAATATCTTAATTGCATCTATACATAATTAACTCGCATGTTGACATAAATATCTTAATTGCATCTATACATAATTAACTCGCATGTTGACATAAATATCTTGCATGTCAACATAATATCCTCACATGTTAACATAAGTAAATCGCATCTTATCATAATTATCACCTACGATGTCAGATACGGACCTCAGCACGGGATTGTTTCCATATTTAAATCAGATTCCCTTAAAAGAATTGTAAATTGCATGCCATCATAAGTATCTTGTGTGTATACATAATTTTCTTGCATGCTGACATAATTTTCTTGCATGTTAACATAATTTTTCTTGCATGTAGGGGGCAGAAACATGCCATCATAAGCACCATTTTTAAAAAATATATATATTTCTTTGAGGCAACTCTCTTAAGTTATGGTTTATAATTAGGAATTGAAAGGCCGATATTAGCTTTTTAATATCTCATATGAATTTTTATTTATTTTTTCACAGAAATGAAAGAAATCTTTATTCGCAAATAAGATGCTTTAGAAAGAAAAATTTTCTCTACTGAGTGCATCATATGAATATCAAATAAAATATGTAAAAGAGCCATATACCCATTTATAATTTTTACTACAATGTAGAATGATTAATGAAAATAAAACATTATTTGAAGAAAAAAATTTTTTTTAATTGTTTAAATGTTCCTAACACTAGTCACAACTAGGGAGAACATATTGGTCAATCATATTTTAAAAAGAAATAAAATGCATGAAATTAAATTTAAAAAAATTGACCAATCCAGATCAAGATTAAAATGATCACAACAAGAATTGATTTGAAAAAAAAAATCACAAAAAACACTTTGAATATCTGTAAAACAACTTTAAAAATAGTTGATTCCAGCAATCAAATAAATGTCTTAGTGGTAAATACATAAAATTGGCAATACGTTATTATTTTATTCATTTTGTGTTAATTTTGATCGGGTAGAATTATATTTTGATCAGGATTGTTCATAATAAGTTTAATTTTAAGAATGATTGATGCTATGAATTAAGTATTTTGCTGTTTTAAGAACCTTGGGTAATGATGCCCATTTAAGCTCGGATACCTATTTAGAATAAGATTTTAAACTATTTTAAAAAATAATCTATTGACCAGTGTATATAAGATTACACGGAATTTGCGCATAAAGAAAATACTGTTGAAGTTTTCTTCAATAAGTTCAGGTATATTTTTGTAAACAAAGAATGTGTGTATTTAAAGATATCTACTTCAGAAGTTATTTAATAAAAGTAAAAGCATGTTGTTTTATTGCTTACTAGTCATATAGTGATCAAGTATCTGTCAATTCAAATTATTTTTGTAGATACATCTAATCAATACATTTTATGAAAAAATTTATATATTTTATGCTTGTAAAAATCAACATTCCCAATCAAAGCACGTTAACGGTTTGTGATTTTTAAATTAATGAAATTATATCAAATTACAATTATATTGTCTTTAGCTTTAATCTTTCAAAAGTTTCCAGATGAATACATTTAAGACAACCTTTTAAATAATTATAATGACGTTAGCCATACGGATCATTTCCTTTCAATCCTATGGTAAGTCCTACATACAACTGTAAATATATATCACTTTTCAATTATTTATTTGATGTTTTTTTAACACAGTAAAACCAAACTTCATTAATTGAACCACCTTTGATAATTTTAATGATAAAGGGATATCGGGTTAAGTGTTAAACGTAAAACTACGCGATATCAGAAACAGAAAAATAAAGGAGACACAAATGAAGCGAAAACGCTAATGAAAGATTAAACTGTTTTTTGGGACATTGTGAAATGAGATTCAATGAGGAGGGATGGAACTTAGTAGTTATGGTGGAACATTTATCATTTCATTGTGTATTGTATCAGTTACTGGACGTAAGTCAAAACTATGTCCGTTTCTTTTAAAATTAATTTTTATTAGTACACGTACATATATCCACTTATATATTTCTTTTGACCGTAATGGCATAACATGTTTTTAATTGTGTTCTTTTTTGTTTGTTTTTCTTCACTCTTTCCCATCGTTTTTCTTTTCTTTTTATTTTTATTTGATTGCTTATTTCCCCTCTTTTTCCTATTTTTTTTTCCAATTTTGTACCCTGTCACCTTTATTAAAATTATCTAAAAATACATGTCTTTGTAAAATTTCTAATATATACATTTGATACATTTGTACTTTTATTTAAAATGGAGAAAACTATTATAGGCCATTTTTGCCAGCTGTTGAATCCATGATCATTGAATATGCTTCTAAGTTAATCATGAATAAACTTCTTAAACCAAAGTAATTGTAGTCTTTTCTTGAAATGATAATGGAATTTTTTGATTGATTTTCGTCAATTTAAACAAAGGTTTGTTTTCAAGAATTTTTTGGACAACTCTCATACGTTTTTTTTTTATCAATTTGATGCAGCTGTTTTTTTTCCATCATTAGCAGGGTAATTTTTCTGTTCATATGAAGCATAATCCACTTAATATCTTTTACACAAGAAGACGTAAAGTCGACGTTTAGATACATCAACAATGTATTTTTAAAATAAAAAAAGTTACTTCCATTCATATGTCGAGCCGATATATCCAGTGAATTTGAAATGAAAAAGTTAAAAGCATAATATATTTTCATATTTGGATATACTAATAAAAAAAACCGTTCATGGTAATCTTAATAAAAATAATCATAAAAAATGACTACAACTTTTCTAGCATCGTCTCCTTTCTTGTGTATGACTTGAATATGCAATTTATATCCCTCAGTCCATTTCATACGCAAGGGCATTTTCTACGAAAAAGTATTTCTAAAACAAGATGAGCCATTGCAAACAAAATGATGAGACATTGATATTAACATACTTAGTTCTCCATGGCACCTCATCCCAACTCGTGCGTTTTCAGACTAGTGCATTTGCCTCCGTTTTGTATTGTTTTCATGGATGTGTGAGTTTTATTACTTTTCGTTATCTATATGGACAAATCTAAAAAATCTATAAACAATAGAAATTTGTGGAAAAAAGCATGAAACATGGACCCAAAAATTTCCATGGGATGTCGTGCTTAGGAGGAGTAAATATCACCTTTTGACCAGAATCTTCCACAGAGAGTTGTATTTATTGATCACGTAGATGGAGAAATTTAGTATAAAAAAACAAAGGTTTAACAATTTGTATAAAAAAGTCGCCTAAAATATGACCCAATGATAGATTTAATATAAGGTTATTATAACGATCATAGAATATATAAAATGCCAACTTTAAACGAGGTTGTTAAAATCCCTGGAACATGACATTATATGTCAGTAGCCTGTCTCAGTTTTAAAATCATCGTATTTGGACCATGCTCTTGAATATCGAATAAGGTAAAAGATGTACACACCATAGGCTGGTGATAGTGGGATATTATTACATAACTTAGCAATTACATAATCATAATTATTACTTTTTTAATATAATGCTACATAAATATTATCAAATTGCATTAAGCTAGCTGAATTGGTATAATTTTCTAAAAAATGACCAAAAATATATAATTGTTTTATATGATCAGATAAATATCATAACTTTGATTAATGTGTACTTTCAGACTGTGGGGTGCACCAGAATCTGGATGTAGTTATAATGTATGATGAATCTTCAAGCTCTGGTTCAACTGGATTTTCCTATCAGCGGCAGTTTATTGTGTCACTAGCTGACGCTCTACACCTGAGTTCCACAGACACTAACATGGCCGGACTGGGTGTAGACACCTACGCCTACTATGGATGGGGACTTCGAGATTATTTCACGTCTTCTGCAATAAATTCAAAGCTAATGAATATATCCATGCATCTAGGAGATGGAGGCTCAAATTTGGCACCTGGATTTGAAATGGCATGGACTCATATCTTATCCAATAGTACGAGGGCGGGGTCCCAAGCGTGGCTTATAGTTCTAACTGATACGACATATACAACCTCTACGAAGGGATTAGACGAAGCTAAAGCTGCTGGTGTAAAAGTTGGCTTTGTAGGGACGGGTTCGGTTGCAAGCTATTCATCTTATGCTTCTGACTCAAAATATATCGTCAGTAGAATGAGCTGGGGAACTCTTTCTTCATATATTACAAGTGTTGTGGAATTTTTCTGCCCTGCATGTGAGTAAAAAAAAATAACATGCTTTTAAAGTTCTTGTAAAACTCAATAATTTGTGTTCGTGAGAAAACTCCTTCAACAACTAAAATTCAAAAGACTTCAGCAATGTCCCATGTCTTTTAATACCAAAACGATTTTTTTTCAAAACAAAAAGTAGAATCGTAAAACAACCTCTTCTATGTAAAATACTATATATAAAGCAGCTCCATATAAAGGATAACATAAAATTTCACAAAAAAAAGAAAGATAAATGTATTTATTTTTCATTCGCAATTATATAGATATTTGCTTTTTCATCCATTCTGTAGATAAAACCTATAGCCACGCGACGATATATTGTATATTTCCGAAATTCGTTCAATTCCCTCAATACTAGTGCTAATAGCGTTACTATTTTATATCATATTTGAATACAAATGGTGATAAATCTTTGTTTCATATATTTTTTTTTCAAAAATACTTTAAGTTGTAATTTTGACATTTTTCGCTTTTTATGATATTAGATATTGATAATTTGCATTCTAGATGAATAGGTCAAAGGAAAGTCAAAGAGAAAATGTTTGTTAGTATTCAAAATAATAAATGATAAATGTTATTGCTAATGATAATAGCTCTGATGAAAGACTGTCTTGATAATTTACAGATTGTGAAAACTTTTTGTTTTACTACGATCTTCCAAACAGTATGAGCGTCCAAGCTGATACACACTCAAGTAAGTATTTAAAGTAAAAAAAAGACAGCATATAAAATTCCGATATTTTTTATTTAACTTAAGACTTCGTCGTGCATTGCGTCATGTGTAATGTTTTCACAGTTTTGACCTTATGAATACCTAAGCTATAGCTACTTAGCGACAAAGCAGCTACCATTTTTGAAAGTATAATCAAGAACACCAAAGAAAATTCATCCTTATAGACAAAAACTTCAATTTTTTTTTTAAATTTTCTTCATTTTATCTCATAATGCATATGAACCAATTTCTGGCCATGTGTCAAAGGAATAACATACACTGCTGTGCATGCTATAACCATACTTGTTTCATTTTTTTAATGAATTGCAAATCAGTTGATAATATTGATAATCTTGATATTGTTTGACAAGCAAGTTATACCAAAAAAGTCAGAGATAACTCAAGATTGCATTTTTTGTCAGTATGAGTAAAAAATGTGTTAAATCAGGGACCTATGTATTAACTTCAGTATACAGGTCCCTGGAGATATGAATATCTTCATATTAATTTTGACTTAAATATAAATATGTTAAAATTGTAATTTTCTTATTTTTGAATAATTAACACAGATGTAGGCTACTATTTGAGCGGTACAGACGTCACCTATGACGTACACTGTTGTGGAGCTGTTTCTTCCGTAGAGTTCAAGGCCACGACTTCCGGAACATTTAAGTTTCAAATATGGCGGAACTATGTCCTAATGTCCGAAACATCGGTGTCAGCGGCAGGTGATTGTTTTAAATGGTTTAAAATATTTGCGTTCTAAATGAATACTACAGTATTTCACATGCACATTTAACATGAGGTCAACTGCATTACGATCCCTTTTATTATACTCGCTTCTCATTATATCGCGGGTTCCATTGTATCGCGGTATATTCCAAAAATTCAGATACACAGCTCATATCCTTTCTGTTTTAAATACTATCTGTTTGTCGTCCGAATGTAAACTTTTGTGTTGATTAAAAAGTATGGAACATGTGTCAGTAATTCTTTATTCAAATAAAACGTAATTTTACAGATTTCCATTACCGTTAATATATTTAGATCATTGATTTTACAACCTTGTAAAAGCCAGAATAAAGTTCATGTTTCGAAAGTCTTTAGTTTGTGTAAATGTTTATTTTTAATGTAGAATTACACCGTAAATATAAAAATAAAAATTGAAGTCCATGTCAGCCACGAGTTTCCATGTTTTCCTATACCGCGATACTATGAGACTCTACAATTTAGGAGGTAAATAAGACTTCCCATTTTAAATATAGACAACAAATTAAACAATGCAAATTTGAGAAATAATTTGAGACTAAAAAGTTAGGCCATAGATTGGATTATGGATAGTATTTGATAAAAGTTAAAGTAAAAAACTGGAATAACACTTTTTATGCAAAAGGATTAAGTTTTGCGATATTAGGAGACACCAGTATGTATTGTAGTAATCGTTACAATTTTTTCTTACGTATATTCAGGATATAAATTGTATATTTCCAGCTGGATATCAGACTCATACTTTTTCACCCAAGCTTGCCATACAGGCTAAGGACGTTATTGGATGGTACGTTGCAATTTACTGATATTGTTCATTTATTATATTTGAAGTAGCATTTTTCATGTAGGCGTGTTGAACAGTTGTATTTTGTTTGAAATTTTTGAATTGAAAATCTGGCTTCATATATTATCAGAATCTTAGCCTCAGTTATTTTGATTAAAATGAATGAACACGTGAGGATAAAGAATGCTAATTAATTGACAAATAATTATTGATCTCCAAAATCCCACAAAGAATACAAGCCTTTGAGCAGGACATTAAATTCGGACATTTAAAAATTCAACAGGAAGAATCACATGCCTAGGAAGACTACATTTATATATTGACTTCAACATTCAAATCTTAAAATGGATTACAACTGAGTAAAAATTATTGTAATTTTCCCACAAAGTATTGAATGTAATAATACAATTTAGCCAAATGAATAAGGCTTTCTTTTCATGTGATACTTTTGAAAACTTATTTGCAGTGCAGGATATGAAGATAACAAACAGTATTCAATGTCAAAGTCCATAAAACAAAACAAAAAAGGAGCAGAGCAAACTCGGACCTCTAAAACATGAGAGGTGGGATCAGGTGCCATGGAGGAGTTAGCATTTCCTCCTCACCGGTCGCACCCGCCTCGTGCTCTTGTCATTATCGGGAAGTAACGGAAAAATCCGTCGTGATCACTACTGCTAAACGGGACCTCGGTTTATATGGTCTCATCCGAAGGCCGGTCTTCATGTTTCACAGTGGGATTTGAACCTGCGACGTAAGGAGCGACTCCTTACTTCAAAACTCCAGAGCAGACGCTCTAACCACTGCACCATCTATATAATCTATATCTAAAATACTCTTTAATGAAGCATAACTAACGTAGAGAATTACGCAGAAAATCAATTGCAAATAGTTTTTCTGCTTACTTTTTTTAGGTACTCATCTGGAGTTAACCCTATTGGAATTGCCTCGACCTGTTCCGGAGACTTATGTACCAGCGGGACAAAACGAGCGACCAACATGGGAACAGTAGCAGTGGGGGCTTCTTATTCGTGGTCTAACGCCACTGACCTGCCAGACACGGCATTTGCAATCAAATTTACTATTGTCAACAGTAATATATAGTACTGAAAAATTCCTCTTTTTTGCAACACTGTTACGAAACATGTTTCATATAATATTTTCTTTAAAACAGCGGTCATAAAACAAGACAATAAATAGAGAATATGAAATACTAAAATCCATATCATATGTCATATCAGCCCGAGGGCTGATGTGACATATGATATGGATTTTAGTATGTAGTATTCTATTTATCATGTATTTAAAATACTTAATATGCGAGTTCACATATGGTCGTTGAAGAATGTTTGTGCTTGTTAGTGACATTTTTTCTTTAAATCTAATAGAACCAATTTTAGGTAACTGAAAAAAAATGAAGACCACAAATGTCATTATAGAATTATTTTATATGAATATTTGAATAAAATCAAGTAAATTAACTTTTAAACGTAATACAAACGTTACTTCCAGTTTGATATGGATTTTTGGCCCGCCAGTCCGATACGTGATATGGCTTTTTGGACCGGTCCGTGATATGGGGTATTGTGACGTCAGCCGTATCACACCGTGCAGAATCGGTGTATTTACTACTAAATATATGATAAACACAGATGCATGGGAACGCCAGAAGCCAGATGGCTAGGAAAAGTAATCATTCCCAGTCGATCTTTCACAATCGTCTTCAATCCTATATATTGAAAAGGAATATAGACTGTTGTGTGGTCAAATTTAGTATAAACACATTATCCAAACAAATATGTATTTAATTGAAAAGTTGAAGACCACAGCAAGCGGTCTAGATCTATGAATAAATTCTACATTATATGAATTAAATTCAGAATTAGTTTTTGATAAAGTAATTTTAAAGATGTTCATGCAATTACAAGGTATAAAAAAGTGCTAGATCAGTTTGTGTCGAGAAAGCAGTTAAATTACTTTAAAGTTAAAAATTGTAAAAAATTCTATATTGGTTAAGCCTTTATTTTTCTACCTGATCAATATAAAAGACTCACAGAATCTGTGACCGGTCAACAAGGGATGCTTACTCCTCCTAGACACCTGCTCCCATATCTGGAATTTCCAGGAACGCGTGTTTTGTGCACTTTTCACAGTTTAATATTCAGTGTAGATTGTTATGATAGATCACTGTTTGATATTTTCACCTTTTTTTCTTTCTTTAAGTGTAGAAAAGACCTAAACAACCTTTCGATTTCTAAAGTTTCATTGCAATATAAATACCACTCTGCTCATTTCGGGGTACATTTAACACCCTAAACAAATTCCAATAGATATTCATAACAATAAATGTTTTTAATAATATTCGTCTATTAAGAGATTTCCTACTCACTCATACCCTGTCCTTTCAATGTACAGTTGTACATATCTGGGACCTTTCTTTTTGTAGGTACTGTTCCTAGCTATACCCAGTCCTCTCCGGTGTACATATCTGAGACTCTGGCGGTGGGATCCAGTATCATGGTCTTTAGTGCTACTGATGACACCGGTGAAATGTTAGCATACAGCGATCCTTCGAGTCCATACTTTGCTTTTAATCAATCTTCCGGTAAAGAATCCTAAAAAAACGTTTTTTCCTGTTTTTTTTTTTAATTCTCAAAAAAAGATTATAGGAGCAGAAAGAGAAACAATGGCGAAGATTTCGCCCATTCTGCAAATTATCTCACGTTTCCCACTGTCGTTGATGCCCTGGCATACTAAAATATTAGACAGTGATTCCTTAATTCGACTTATAAATTGCACTTTATCAGTATTATTTGAAATTTTCCATCTACATCCTTGAAAAGGCATATTTCGTTTTTTTTTTAAATTAAGGGTTTTCATATTCACAATTCTCTGAATGTAATAAACATATAAATGTTAGGCTTTTATATAATATATATCTATTTTATCTTCCACAGGAGAAATTACTTTGATTGGCTCGTTGCCCACTCCTCATGTTGAGACACCCTACACTCTTACAATAGAAATTATGGACGCCTGTTTTAACACAGCTACGGCCACCATTAATATAACCTCATTTGCTGTTGTAGGTTAATTTTTAAATTTCATTATGACATGTGATTGATTATTAAAATATTTTACAGGACTACTGATAGCCATCTAGCATGATGCTGATATTGTGTTTTATGTACCGTTTAAAATATAATATATAAATGATTAGCATTTAAGTTCTTAAGTAGATCTATAGTTATTCAATTCAAAACAAACAACACCTTGAAATATTTTGATCTTCAAAATGAACTTTTCAGCCTCCATCATTTCATAATTTGCCAACGGAGGTCGAGCTAGGAGATGACGTCACAGCAGAGACCCTTTTAATTGTTGTTAATGTGACAGATGAATCCGCTCCCAGCATCATTTGTGCTCAAACGTCAATTTTACCAGAAACCCAGTACTTCAGACTTGACGATTACATGAATGGCTGTACGTTGATTAAATTTAGCTTTTTTTACTTGTCATTGAATAGGAAACTATACAAATGCATTTAAATCCACTTGTCTGCACTATATTCATCAATGTTTTTTTTTTTTAAATTGTTTTAATGTTGTCATTGAATCTTTGTAAATGATGTGGATTTTTTTTTTGCCCAGTATTATTGCATTCAAAAGATTCTTGTACCATAACTTTTTAACAAATGCTTAATGAATAGTTTATTAACAAAAAAAGCTAGTAAAAATATTTTGTATACAAACTTCATGGAGGGTTTAAAACAGTTAAAGGTGCATGGACACAGATTTGAAGTTAATATTTTCTGTATAATATTACGACTTATATATTTTAATAGCATTTCACACAAAAATATATTAAAAATCCCATCTCATCTAAAAGTTATTAAAACTTCAAATTTTAGACGGGTTTGATTGACACACCCTTGCACTTTCACAAATTTTATTTTTATTCTTAATACTTAGGAAAAGTGGCAATCTTGTGTATAAATGAAAAATATTAAAACTATAATCCAGAAAATTCAGAGTTGAAATGTTCGAAAGCAAAACACACACACACACACACACAGTATTTTGTCAGTCCGTGCAGTTGTGGTGAGCAGACTTTAACAACTGAACGCTCCCGGTGAATCGTAAACATCAACAATAACAGAGCTCGTGCCCTGTTTACAAAAACTGTGTACGTTTCACCGATGTGATCAATCTGCTAAACTCTGTACACAGCACTTAGACGGAATGACGATACTTGTGAAAGGGGTTTTGCTTTCTAACATTTTTACTCTAAATATAATTATTTTTTGGATTAAAGTTTTGATATTTTTAAGGTTTAATGCTAACTATAATTTTCTAGTTAAATAGCAAGATAATGAAAGATCACTGAAGAATTATGTATTGCACTGAAGATTTATTTAATACCATAAAACACAGAGTTACTCTAGGGAATATCACAAAGAATATTCAATTTACAGCTGCTGCAGTATATCTCAATCCTGATTCGGTGTTGGACTTTAACACAGTTGAGGAATATAAAATGTTCATCACATTTGCACTGAAGTTTTATTTAATACCACAAAACACAGAGTTACTCTAGGGAATATCACAAAGAATATTCAATTTACAGCTGCTGCAGTATATCTCAATCCTGATTCGGTGTTGGACTTTAACACAGTTGAGGAATATAAAATGTTCATCACATGTACCGGAAGTACACCTCTTGAGTCCGTACTGACCATCAGAATTCTGGATAAATCCGTCACCACTCCTTATACGGTGCCAGGTAATGATAAATAACCTCTCGATTTATTTTTTAATATTAACATTTTAAATTTTGAAAAGATGATATTCAAGAAGTTTTTATTAGCCAAAACTTGACACACTTATTATTCCATATAAAGAAATAATAGGTTAACGATCAATCACCGTTAGACACGGGTGTGCTATAGACACCTCAGTATTTTAAAGCTTAACTTTCGAAGGCTGAAATTTCATTTTTCAAATTAATGTTTCAAATCCACTCTAACGTACATTGCATTATTCACCAATCATATTTTGTATATATTAGGCAATTTTTTTTTACCGGTTAGTCTTCCTCACAAAATACTCTTTGTTGAAGAGTCTATTGAGCTAAATCAAATTTAGACTACGCTGTATTTCTGTTCAAAGCATGGGCGGCGGGGGCCATTGTCGTCAGCGTGGGATCAGTGGGCGTGGTTATAGGAATGGTCTGTTTTCTGATTGTCGTAATTCTGGCAACAACCGATGAAGCGGAAGTACTGCCGCCAGTGGAAGAAGACAAGGACGCGAACAAGGAAGTGGATGATGCTGCACAGATGTACAAAAATGTCGACCGAATTCAACTTTATAGAGAGGGTTACGGGGAATTTTGAGCTGTGTTTTAATGCATTCATTGATTCAAAATATTTTTAAAATAGACACAAAAATTGTATGCTTAAAAAATCTGTATTTCATTTTTTGGAATTATAATGAATGCATGTGCTAACCAACATTACTCTCTCAAAGGATCATGAAGAAAAGTGATGTTTTTGGGCGTTCTCTTTTGAAATCAATAACAACTAGTGTCACAATATATACCTGATTGTGATTATTAAAATGTTGATGAATTATTTTGTTCCATAAAGCATTGAAAAACCGATTTCTTGTTTGTTTTACCTTTAAATCTTCTATTGGGACAACACGTAGTGAAAAGCAGACATCTGTTAGCACGCTTTAAAAGACTTTGTCAGTGAACGTTTTTTCTTATTGTCCTTTAACTAGTTGTAAACGAATGTTAATTACCTACAATCTTTACGCCCAGTGGAATTGAAAAAGAAAGTCAGTAATATAATACCACTGAACTGAATATAGTTGATAATCTGCTGAAATAATTTAAAATTATATCACACATTTAAAAACAGACATAGCCATTAGAAATATAAATGGTTCATTTTGTTGATTGAATTAATCTTAATATAGTAGTATTATAACTTATATTATCTATTATTATATTAATCTAAAATCCATTTACTATCTAATGTATTCTTTCCTAATTGATATTATAAAAATAAAACTTCTTATATTACGATTTTCATTTGATGTATATAATATATATCTGTTGCATTATATATTAATGTATACCTACATTTAAGATATTAAAAGGGGATAACACTTATTTTTGATATACGATTCAATTCAGATTAAAATCAAATGCAATATCGATACAATAATTTTTTTTTTTTGCACACTTGAAGATATTTTGACAAAAGGCTAATTGAATTTGAGACTAAATTCATTGAGGTGTAAACTCAAGGCAATGAATCAAAATGAAACCTGCATGACAAGTTGTAACCGTTGAAAGTAAACACAAGGAACAAACATGTTATTTGAAGTGTGTGGCACTGCAGCTGTCTTTACGCTGTTGATGTTTCATACTGCATACGGACGTGAGTTTTGAATTTTGATGGTCATTGAATATTCTTTTTTAAATTTGATTTTGCATAGAAAAATATTTACATTATTAAAGGCAATCGTAATTTTTTTTTAATACTAAGGTAATACGAAGAAAGTCAGGTGCTATAGCTCATAGAAAAATGTTTCTATTTTGGTGTTTGTTTTTATACAAACTTCCCTTCTTCGTTCGTCGATATCACTTTTGTTTTAATTAAGGTAAATAGACTAAATACATAAAAATTGATTTGAAATCTTCTGACTTGGATGTGGTTAATAACACTGCACCATCATTTCAATTAGTGGAGGCCAATTTCTTTTGTAACTTTACTTTTACTTATTCATAGGGACTAAAGGACATATGGTACAAACATTTTTTTCTTTGGAGGAGACTTAATATCATCTGATAGGTTTAGGAATGTGAATATTTCCTTGAATTTTCCCCTTAGACGTGTAAAATGAAATATAGTTCTAAAAGTGTAATTCAAATTTTACAAAGATATACCAAGTAAATCTTATGAGAAAACGTAAAATGCTGAAAATCAGAAAAATCACAGGCTGATTTTTACCAGTTTGCTTTTCCTCATAAAATTCACCTGGCTTGGTATATTTTTTTAAAGTTTATATAGCACTTTCATTAAACTAACATATTTGGAAATTTGTTTTTATCTCTAAACCTTTACTAAGTGTGATTTGTCCATATTTGTAATTTTATTGGAGTATTATGTATTATTTTCCAAGTCCATTTTATTTTCCAATTTTAAGGAAAAATGAAAAGAATTATTCCCTTTTCTAAACCTCTTACATGATATTAAATCTCCTCCAAAGAAGAAAATTGTTTGTATCATCTGTACTTAATTTCGAAGGTTACTCGTTTCGAGAGAAAATTCAAGCATGAAATACGCCGACAAGTTATGTTTGTAGGGATATTTATTCGTGGGTAAGGATGACAAACGAAATACATTTACATTAGCCCCTCAAGGACCAATGATTTTACGTACATCTATTTAACAGCTTGGTGTTTCCTTTTTCTATTGGTATATTTATTCAACACCCAAGTATAATAATCGATATAACACTTTTAAAAATAATTGAACAAATATGTTAACTCACAACATTTAGAAATCTCGTCAAATGCTGACTAACTTTTTTCATACTAGGTGTTTATTTAATTACACATCGCACCGTCTATGGAATTTTCTATAGCTTCCCGATCCGTGACAATGAGCACACGTCAGGTGTGACCGGTCGGCAAGGAATGCTCACTCATCAAAGGTACCTAATCCCACTTCTGATGTTTTAGAGGTCCGTACTTGCTCTTCTTCAAAATTCGTATTATTTGATGGACTTCTGCGCTTGAATACTGTTCGTTTTTTTCATATATTTCAGTATCATTAACTCTATCTCAGGTCTTTTGTTTACATTTTACACTTTTTTTTAAATGTAGATAATATCATTTCAAAATAAGGTAGTAAGAACGATGGGTGATTGGAAAGAAGACACGAGACAAAATAAAATTATGATTTACAAACTTTTTGATGAAAAGTTATCACAATTTAAAGCAGGTAATGTATTTATGTGGATATATTTCAGTCTGTGGTGTTCACCAAAAACTTGACATAGTAATTCTGTATGATGAGTCGTCTAACGCTGGGTACATTGGTTTTGATTACCAGCGCCAGTTTATCGTGGCATTGGCGGACGCTCTATACATAACGTCAAGCGCCACAAACATCGCTGGTGTGGGGGTCGACGACAAAGCTTACTATGGCTGGGGACTTCGAGATTACTTCAATTCATCACAAATTTCTTTAAAAATGATGAATATGACTATTTCCAATGGACCCAATTCGGATTTGGCGGATGGTTTTAACATGGCATGGAACACTATATTGTCTAAAAATGCCAGATCTGGCTACCAATCCTGGATTATTGCTATAACTGAAAAAGGCACTATAAACTCAACCACAGGACTGGATGCCGCTAAAGCTGCTGGTGTCAAAGTAGGAATTCTAGGAGGGGACCCCGCCAGTAGCTATACAACCATTGCTTCTGATTTGACTTATATCATAGGTTCAATGGCATGGTCCGCACTTGTGAGTTATGTACCGACAGTGGTCCAATTCTTTTGTAATTTATGTAAGTGTAATTGAATATTTTTTTTTGAGCTAAAGTTTTATTCATGAATACGGGTCTTTGAAAATGTTAAAAATTCGAACAAATTTTTTTCTATGAACCACTGTAACTGAGACTTGAATGTAAAAAAATATATAAATTAATGATTGATATAGAGTTAGCTAAATCGTTTGAACAACAATTTGTCTATAGTTTGATATCTTTCAGGTGCGACCTTCATTTAAAGCTTATCAACTGTCTCATTTAATTTCAGACTGTGAAGATTTTGATTTCTATTACGATGTGCCAAGCACTATGAGTGTACGGGCTGACAATTATTCCGGTGAGTGTTTTCATCTATTATAAAAAAAAATCAATAAGAAAACTTTACATTTACCTCAATTCAAATATAACGAGTTTGAAATAATTATGCCGTACTTAATGACAAATGTTTCTCTCGATACATTAAAAAATAGCAATACTTCTTATAAGAAAATGTTATATAAATACAAATGTAAATTATTCAGTTCTTTATGAATACATGTACACCGTAATCCTAATTGTTTCAATATAGATGTGGGGTATTACTTAGACGGCGTTGATATGGCCTACAACATACATTGTTGTGGAGCGGTATCCTCTGTTGAATTTAAAGCCACAACTTCCGGAACATTCAAATTTCAAATATGGCGAAAAGATGTACTTGTGTCGGAGACATCGATATCAGCCACGGGTAATTAGATACTGTACAATTGTCAAGAGCTTTTTATGCCATGTTTATAGATTTGTATTGCTTGACACGGCGGGTGTGACCGGTCGGCAGGGGATGCTCACTCCTCCATGGAACCTGATCCCACCAGTCCGTGCTTGATCTGCTCAAAATTTTTATTTAATATATGTATATTTGGAAAGAAAAAAAACTGTTCCTTTGACCTTCGACATTAATATATATCGACAATGTATTGTCAATTAACAATGGACATTTCCATTTCATGTCCATTCGATATATCCCGCTGAGCTTGAAATAAAAGGAACCATAGGGTTTGACACATCTCTTTCAAATATTGATAAAAATTAACTTTAAAATGACGTTAATGATATTCTAACAGCCAAGCTTTATGACAAACACTTCCCTTACTTATGCAGCAATATACCTTCGTCACCTGCATACGGGCTTTATGTCTCTCAGTTGATTCGAAACGCAAGAGCATGCTCTATGTGTGAGCAATTTTTAAAACGAGGTAAATTATTCAGAAACGAGTAGCTGAAAGAAGAATATCAGCAGGATTGTTTAAAGTCATCATTTCGTAAGTTCTATAATTGTTGATAGAATGACCTTGTCAGCAAAGACAATCAATCTTCAAGTCAATTGCTGAATGCCGTTTTTCCTACGTATCATTAGGCGATTTTAAAAGCATACTGAATTGCTGATTTTTCCGTGATCACCCGATCACGGCGAGTGTGATCGGTAGGAAGGGATGCTCACTCCTCCATGAAAGCTGATCCTACCGGTCCGTGTTTGCTCTGCTCCAATCTTATATGGACTTTTGAGAATGTATGCTGTTCGTTATCTCCATAAATATCTCCATGACTTGTTAACAGCATTTTTATTTCTATTGAACCATGTTGACTTAGATTGTTTTCTAAGAAGGAATCGACACACGAATTCAGGTCCATCACAAAATGTAAAATATTACATACATAACTACTCAGCAATTTTTCATCCACGAAATCAAATCCACATTAAAAAAGATTTTTTGCTCAAACCACTAAAATTTTACTTTACAAAGATATGTGACTTTAAAGTATATAATTTAATTAACTGTAAAAAATATGATGACAAAAATAGAATTCCATGATATACTTATATATTAAAAAGGTGGTTTCAATATATACAAAAAATTGGCTATGATACGTGTATACTTAGAATTTTCTACTATTTCATTTCTTCTAACAGGTGGTTATCAAAGTTATACATTTTCACCAAAGCTTGCTGTAGAAATGATGGATGTTGTTGGATGGTATGTCGATCATTTGAGACATCTTTTCTTTTAAATAATCTGTTCAAGAAAATTAATGTAAAGGTGTACAATATGCTGGGAAAATAACTTGATGGTTATATTCATACAGGGAAGGAATATTTAGTTTAACAAATTCTTTAACGCACTATTTGTAATCACCAGTCATTATTCACGTATCTTTTTCTAATGAAGTATTCTTTTAAAGCTGATAAATATGAGTTTAGAATAAAGGCATTGATTTGTTTTAATGCATGGTTAATTGATATGTGATCAGTGTAGTCTTACTGTACATAGAATGAAAAGAAAGAATATATATTTTCGGATGTTCTTTACAATATTATTTGATATTCATTTGATGAATATATATATATACATACTGTAAAAGCACAAATATTCGTGGGGGATTAAATTTCGTTTATTTCGTTGTTAACAAAATTCAACGAAATTAAATCCCACACGAAATTTTATCTGACTATATATTGAATAGGGTTAGTTTAAAAACAACGAAATTAAATGCACGCGAAATTATTTTTGATCACAAAACAACGAAATTTTATACCCACGAAAATTTGTGCTTCTACAGTATATTATTTTTATCATTTATTCCAAGCTCTCTGATTGACTCAAACATGATAATGTGATTAAGTATATAACAGCATAAAGACTTGAGTTACTATTTATAGAATCTGAAATGCATATCGACTTGATGTTTCTTAAAATGGAAATTATAATTTTCTGTAAAACAAAAACAATACTGATTTCACAATTATAGCTAGTACAGTGTATGACTTGATGTTTCTCAAAAAATATATACTTCATCTTGTAATGAATATTTTTTAATGTTCTGTAATTAATGAGACATAACAATTCCATGAATTAGGATCTACTTTGTATTGAAACATATTGAATATGTTTGTCAAAAATTGATACAAATAAATGTTAGTATTTAGAATTTTTAAATCCTCTAAATTACTTCATCAGTATAAAGGTTACAAAATTACATTAAACAGCTTAATTTATTTTGATCTCTAGTCTCTAAAAGTTAAAGAGAGAAAACTTGTGCCTTGTTCCCATTATTTTCAAATTGCATTTTGTTAATCTATGTGAAAATGATATAACAAATGTAGCCCTTTAATTCGGTCAATCCATAGATTTATCGACTTCACAGAAAAGCATATCGACCTCGCACTTCGGTCGATATGCTTTTCTGTGAAGTCGATATATCTATGGATCGACCTCATCAAAGGGTTATATTTATATAATATACGTTTTTGATATTCAGGTATTCCCCAGGAGTAAATCCTATTGGAATTGCTACGAGTTGTAACGGAACTCTGTGTACTTCCTTCACTAGAAGAGCCCCGAGCATGGGAACAGTGGCAGTAGGGTCTACCTATTCGTGGGCTAGTGCAATCAATCTGCCAGATACGGCTTTTGCTATCAAATTTACGATTGTCAATGGTAAAGATATGTTCAAGCACTCTAGAATTCAAACATGGTTACCATATATTTGTGACATTAAATAAAAAGATAGGAAGCACATACCAAGCTGTGCCATATGAATGTCCTTTCCCAAATTGCTTTTTTGGTTTTTATCTACAAATTGTATACAATTTGTTTTCAAGATGCTTAGGACAATTTTAGTGTATTTTTTGCTAACCCTGAAGAAAATGTTTTTTTCTGCAATTGATGTGTGGCAGCCTGCTATTCTGCTCGTCTTTTTTCTAATCGAAATGTTGGGTATTGAATACAATCGTGTGTAGATTATTATTATTGGAAAGTATTGCTGAAAAAATGCTGCCTATGACCTGAATGTGTGTTTTGAGTTTAATCCAAGTCATTGGAGCGATGCAATTCAAAAACTACATGTAGCAGTAAAAAAAATGTGTGTCAACATTAGATGCAACAAGCCTGATTGTACTACTTCTAGTACTACTGATATTTATTATTCAGTGACATCAGAGTTTTCCGCTAATTTTAAGATTTATTTTTGTTATTTTTATTACTTATAAGTGTCATATTAAGTGAATGAGGTAATTAGATGAGATGACAAACATTAGAAGTCAACAAAAAATTTCAATGATTTATTCATTTTTTAAATTTTACCATTTATAAAAAAAATTAGAAAATTTCAATACTTCAAATTCTTCATTAATCACAAATATATGTTAATAAAGAAATACTAATTTATGTCCTTCTTTAGTTACAGCTCTGACCTTTACAATGACCTCTCCAGTGTTTATATCAGAGACATTGACTGTGGGGTCAAATGTCACAACAGTCAGTGTAACTCACGATACAGGGATGGAGTTAATGTACACCGACCCCTCCAGCCCATACTTTGCCTTCGATCAATACACAGGTAAATCGGAAATGCCATTTTAATTCTCCTGTTTTTATGAAACAAGGTAAAGACTGGTATATGACGAATGAAACATAAAATTTTACTCATTGCTACAGTGTTTTGATTATGCCTTCTTGATTATTATTGAATTTAATATTAAGAGTTACATAACGTATTTAAAAAACATAATTCAATATATCTGAAAGTATTATGATTATATTATCATCATTTGTGGTAATATTGTGCTTCTTGTAATTTTTCTTAAAACATAAAACAAGAATGACTTTGTTTACTTCACTGTAAAACTAACTTTTTCATGGTATCACATATTCTACTCTAAATCCATTCATTACTTTCAAATGAAAGTACAATAAACAACAAACACACCATTTGGACATAGCAACGATACGAAGTAGCTTTATTTGTGCAGTGTACATAACATATGCAAAATATGAAAATCAATTTGTATAACAAGTTTATGTTGGATTGAATAAATCATGATAAAATTTAAACTTTATCGTGCTCTACGTGTCGTCCTTAACTGGTATTTAAACCACTATTCACCTCTTGTATAGCCTTGCTAACGAGACCGGTTCTAAAGAACCACGTGATATACACCAGGTATTCGAATGAAAACCTTGTAATTCCGAAAAAGTAATTCATTATCACACCAAGTAGAAATTGAATTCTGTCTAATTCGTTCCTCAAACGAAAGAAATCATATTTCTACTCTAAATCCATTCATTACTTTCAAATGAAAGTACAATAAACAACAAACACACCATTTGGACATAGCAACGACACGCAATAGCTCTAAATACAAAGAACGGGAAAATGAAAGTATAAAATTATTGATTTTAAATTCAATCCAACATAATTCATTTATATCATATCAAAGTCATTCAATATTTTAAACCAATAAATACATAAAATTTTACAGAAATTTTCCAATAAAATGTTTTGAAAACAATTAAATAATCACCAAAGAAATCCATTTACATGTATATCCATCCTAAACAAATTCAATACATCGCCGTCTTTTGAAAATCCATAGCGCAATTCACCATGTGAGTCTGATCATAAAAGTCTTGATGTTATGCACACATCCTATCCACGCATCGATAAATGTTTGCTGCACTTGAGTATTGAGTATAGTTCAAGTCAAATTCAACGCATACCATACGATTTATCGTGAAGTACCAGGGAAGAAGACCTCAAATATATGAAATGAATTCGACACAGTTATACATAGAAGTATATTCATTCTCCAATATCAAAAAAGCACAAAATACACATTCCTGTGAAATATCTTGAATCCCATCTCAATTCCTTGGATATGTGCCTCTTTGAAACTGTCATTATTGGAACACAGATTAATGCCTCATGATGCTTGAATCAAACGATAACCAATAATACATGGAAGAACAAATTTGATGTTAGAAAACTGATAGATACATATATCTTGTAACTCTGATATTTAAGTAAATATGTATAGGATCTCTTTTTCTCTCTCTCTTCATCTATAAAAAAATCAAAATCATCATCATTGTGGCTTGCAAAACATGCATACTATCATTGAATGATAAAATGAATCAAAATTCCACCATTAAATTCAAAATTTATGAATTGTACTAATAATTTTTTAATTAAGAAAAATATAAATGTGTTTGATTGATTGATTGTATATTTAACGTCCCTCTTGAGAATTTTTCACTCATATGGAGAGTCACCGTATGCCGGTGAAGGGCTTCAAATTTAGACCTATACTCGGCACTCAGGGCAGTGAGGGTTCTTTATCGTGCCAGCGCCTACCGTGACACGGGACCTACGTTTTTAAGGTCATATCCGAAAGACCCGCGACTTTTCACTTCTAGTGCCGAGCGCTTGGCGAGGGAACAGTCACTACCTTTGTTTACGTCTTAGGTATGACGCGGCGCCGCGAACGAGAATCGAACCCGGGCTTTTCGATCACGAAGCGAACGCTCTACCACTAGGCTACCGTGGCCGGTAAAATGTGTTTGTATAAACATCCATTTTATAATCAAGTTCTGATAAAGTGGATTTAAAAGAATTTTTTTTAAAACTAAAAAAACCATCTGACTTCATGTATATATAACTCTCTAATAAATCATTCTCGTCTTTTTGAAAAATCACAAATGGATTTGAAAAAAAAAACAACCATACAATCATACTATGATCTAATATAAAATATAAATTTATCAAGACTGTTCAAATTTCAATCAAATGTTACCTTATTTTTATCAGAATAATTAACATTTACTTTACTATGTGTAGAAATACTTCCTATTGAAAACAACCTCACCAAATGGCATCAAAACAAATGTGGTTGGATAAACATCCATAAAATCATTTTATGATATAATTTATCAAAAAGTTCAAATTTCAATCAAATTTTACTTTATTTTTATGAGAATAATCAACTTTTACTTTACTTCATATGTAGAGATACTTTCTACTTTAACCAACTCGCCAAATGACATCACCACAAAAGGGTTCGAAAAACATCCATAAATTCATACTATGTGATAAATTTATCAAAATACTTCAAGTTCCAATCAACTTTTACTTTGCTTTCATAAAAATTATCAACTTTTACTTTACTATATGCTAAGATACACTTTCTACAGAAACCAATCTTACTAAATGGCATCATCACAAATGTGGTTGGACAAAATCTATAAATTCAAACTCGTATGATATAGAACCCACTTTCTACTTTAACCAACTCGTCAAATGGCAACACCACAAATGTTGTTGGATAAACATCTATATAATTTTATGATAAAATGTGCAAAACATTCGAATCCAATCAATTTCTATTTCATATTATCAGCAATATAATGAAAACAATCTTTAATAAATTACCAAATGACAATACCATAAAAGTGGTTGAAAAATATTCATAAAAACATGATATGCTAAAACGTGCCAAAGTTATTCAAATTCAAAACCAATTCAATATTATTTCAAACAGAAATATTAATTTTCATTTGACTATTTCTGTACTTCTCATTGTCTACTGAAATCAATCCCGCCAAAAACCAAACACCACAGATGCGTTATGATAAACATCCATAAAATATTTTATGTTAAGCTGGGTTAAAGTTGGAATTCCGCTCAAATTCTATTTTTGTTTTAAATTCAAAAATAACAGCTTTTAAATAGCTACAGTATTATAGAAACCACTTTCCACTGAAAACTAATTTCAATAAAAGTAAATACCCCAAAAATTGTTGCCATTTAATAAACATTCATTAAATCATTTCATTATAAAATGAAATATATCAACGTTATCAAAATTCAAATCTTCCAAACACTACCAAACACGAAAATTGTGCAAAAAAATTAATATTCAGAAAAAGTTTAATTCAATTTTGGTGAATCATTTTTAAAATTAGAATTCATTGACAAAATTTCCTTTTTGCTGGAAAATCAAAACCGATAAAAATTCAGTTTCTGTTATCAAAACTTTTTAGTATTGAAACTAAGTACTTAGATCTCTTTTTCTAGATAACTCAATCAAGCCAATTAACAACACCCCAAATATTGCAGAATTATCATTCATCTAAATATTTTATACCATTTTGATCTTATCTATTTATTAATTTTTTTTTAAATTAATACTTAATTAATAAATTTCAATTCTAAGATAATTCAAATGAGACCTTAGTTTAACTACAATGAAAATCAAAATGCAAATATTCTAAACCTATAATCCTCTTACGCAATGCCGTACCTGTCCTGCATTAATCACAAGACAAGTAGAACTCGTTTTCTTCCATAAAGTTTATATGTCATTAACACATATACTTGGTTAAAAAATACCAAACAAAAATTGTCTATGTCCCATACTCTACTATACGGATTCATGATTGAATAATCTACTAAAATAAATCGAAAAACGAATTATTATATTCAAAGTTCAGAATATGAAATGCTTCTCTTTTCCATTGTGATGGAGTCCGCATTGAATTTAACTTTCAATAGGCATAAAACGCAAAGAAAAAATCTACCGTACTTCTCTGGAGATCTTAAAATCACCTTCTTCATTATACTCATCGTGATACCAACCCCATCATGTAACTACCTGAAACATAAGAATATACTGTTTTCTCTTCAATATATCTAAAACTTTCCATTTTAGTAGCACATTTGACAAAATGGCAAGAAACTGAAATTGAAAAATAAATTCAAACAATTTTAAGTTCTCGATATTTTCTGTACTCAAGAAATGTCCATGTTATAATGCTGATGTATTTAGGACGTTTTAAAATGATCAGCAAATATATTTAATTGGATATAAGTGCAAATATAATATCTTATAAATTCTATACTTGCATTAAATGAAAACTAAAATAAATTATCGTAACGTATTTGTTTTGATTTTCAGAAACACCAGTTTTCTTCCTTGAACAAATCCATCTTTCTACAAAACAAATTATCTATTTCTGGAAATAACTTCTATTATCACAGCGAAGATAAAATATTTATCAATATATAAAACAATCAAGAATTAAACCATGATATACTGACGAGAATTAACGAATCTCATAATTTAATACAATACATGTATTTGTTTTCAAATTCTCTCTATTACAAACCTTGTTGTCACTAATTTATTACTTATTCAAAAACTGATCATTTGTATTCTCAAATGAATACTTATCTTATTAAAACAAGATCTAAGATGGCTTTTCTTTGATGACCTCGTTTTCAACACTGTCAAATCTCTCTCCAACTCTATTTTCTGTGATTACATATCATCTACAATGGCTAAAACATGTCGATGAACCACTCCCTACGCTACTTCGGTCTGCTTCTGAGATTTAAACTTTATCGTGCTCTACATGTCGTCCTAAACTGGTATTTAAACCACTATTCACCTCTTATATAGCCTTGCTAACGAGACCGGTTCTAAAGAACCACGTGATATACACCAGGTATTCGAATGAAAACCTCGTAATTCCGAAAAAGTAATTCATTATCACACCAAGTAGAAATTGAATTCTGTCTAATTCGTTCCTCAAACGAAAGAAACCATATTTATTATGCTTCCTGTCAGTTTGTCCCTATATAACCCATACCCAACTATTTTCGCATAGTGTTCAAAGGATTTATATAGCGTAAAAATTTCTATGCCGAAAATCAAAACCGCAAAAATTCCATTTCTGTTATCAACAACGCCCATATCGGGGAGCGAACTCACGATTGTCAGTCCGACGCGCTACCGATTAAGCCACAGACGCCGATATTTAGAACAATGTACTATAATATATACTTGTCAAAATTTCTAAGTCCCCACTTTCATTATTTTAAGTATGTAAAAACCTTTAACATTAATTAAATAGTTGTTCACAATTTTGAATTACATTTTCAATGATTATCTGTTACGGCCAAAAAAAAAATTGGAATTGAATGTATGATTACTCAACCATGACCGTTTCTGTTAAAAAGCATGAAGTGCGAGTTTCATATGTTTTCGGGTGTATCTTTCATTTATTTAAATGTACATCTGTTCTCCATCTTCAGTTGTTTACGAAAAACAGAAAAAAACTTGTTCAAAATGTCGTGTATGTACGAACGACAATGTGCATGTGAAGTTGACATGGTCCAAGCTGGTGGTATTAAAGGAGAGTTGTATTTCCTTCCTTTGTATTTGTTTATGTTATTTAAAACCTTTAAAATACCGCCAGGAAGATGCACAAAGCATATTTGTATTCCTTATAATCATTAAAAATTGCTAGATTTTCAACAAATACCACTAAACCAGCCTAAGGTTTAACCGGAAATTTACTAAAACCGGAACCGGAAGTGCCCATGGTCAAGGCGTATACACGTTCTGCAACGCATAAGAACAGGGTTTCTCTTCTGCATAAGAATTACTCACTATAATTGTGGAAGGAACCTATCTGCACGTGCAATTTCTCTGCACTCATTAAAAATTAATTAAAGTCTCCTTAATTATCCAAATTATAAAAAACAAACTGGAAGAGTGGGGAATGCGTGTAAGTAGACCTTATGTACTGTAGACTAAATATTTTGGGGTAAAACAATTTCGGTAAGCTTCAATGTCATCCACATCTCAAACTTATAGAACATGAATGGGACAAGATGGACCGGAGAGTGAGAGCTTTTCGAGCAGCAGAATCTAGCTGAACTATAGAGGACGACCTCGTCCATACATGGAATAACCTTCAATAAGGATTTTTCTTAATTTTGGGAACTCTTTGGAAACGGTTGTCTTGATCAATATATAAAATCAAGGATAAAAGCAGTATACTGAACGTTGCGATTTTTTAATTCTAATGCCTTTACTTTTCTGCATTTGGTGTTCTCCCTTTGATAAAATTAGATTAAGTGAAAAAAAATCGTTTTGCTTCTTTTTATCCTGTATAGTTATCAATTTATATTTTCGTAATTATTTATTATAAAAGCAGTGTAAAACAAACACTACCTGGGGACTTAGAAATTTTGACTAGTATATATATAAACTTAGTTTCAAAAATTTTACACTTACGATTAAAAATAAACAGAACAATAATTATAAGATAGTTTTTTGCAATCCCCCTTCCTTCACTCAAATAATATTCTCTAAAACTATTTCTAGATTATACCTAAAGCATGGAACGTTCAAAATTAAAGAAAATGATTATGACGTAAATGTTGCATAAGGTGATGTCATAATAGCGAGCGCAGCGAGCGTCGCGAAGCGACGCTCGCGAAGCGAGCTCAATAGATTAACGTGTAAGAACAGAGAAAATTCGGATTGAAATCTGTACATACGTCAGCCAAATTTCTCTGTGCAACATTCCCAGAATTCCTGCACTACCCAATGTCCTTTGCGCGAATATTGCCGAATAAATAAATAAATAATAACGTAAAGCGCATATATCAGACTTTCAGTTTGTAGAAATCTTTCAAAGAATACCGAAGAAATAACTCTGCAATGTTTTTCGACAAAAATTGCACTAGTTCTATAGTTTCAAACAGACGCTCGGCTGTCTTTAGAACAATGTACTATAATATATATATATATATATAACAGCTAGTTTCAAAAATTTTGCGGCTTGACGTTCGAAATGGCAAAACAATCTCAAGTGTTTTTGATGGTACAACTGCGCTCGCCCCAACGGTCACACCGTAAAACATATTAGAGTAGACGAATGTTACAGGTGATGAAACATTGGAAATAAAGAAAATATTGCCGTTTTGATACAGTAACAACAGTCAGCATAATAATAACAATAGTGTTGTGTTTTGCGTGCACTATGCCTCAATAGTAGTCAGTGTTTGACACATAGTGCACTCGCCTCCGGCTCGTGCACCATGTGTCAAACCCTGCCTACTATTTAGGCATAGTGCATGCAAAACACAACATTATTATATAAATGGTATACAGTTTTGTTTGTTTACAATTGTCTGATTTTCATGCTTTTCTTTGAATTCGTAGGGCTTATCAGTTTGATTGGGCCATTGCCTGTAACGAATACAGAAACAACTTATGTTTTAGTAATAGAAGTCTATGACACATGTTACAATTCCGCAACTGCTACTCTTAACATAACATCTTACAGTGTGGTAGGTTTTTCAATAATTTACTGACGTATAATAAAGATATTTTAAAGTTTTATACTTTTCTGAATTCTTTTTCAAAAATTATAATCAGTTGGTCTCTTTAAGAGCATTTTACAAAAATTTAAAACCACCTTTCATATTAATAGCATTTTATAAAGTTATGACGTCTTATTTTTCCTGAATATAAGATGACACTTTTTGAATTTTTACATCACGTTTTCAGCCACCATCATTCCATAATTTACCAACGGAAGTAGAGATCGGAGATGACGTCACAGAAGAAACTCTTCTCATTGTCATTAATGCAACGGACGAATCTGCTCCAACTATCACGTGTACCGAAACGTCAATTTTACCAGAAACACAGTTTTTCAGATTGGATGACTATATGAATGGATGTAGGATGCATCACTTCCACATTTGTATTTATTTGATTAATTAAATGAAATGCTAATAAAAAAGAGTTTAATTTAAATACTAGTACCTGATTAAATAGACCAGTCAATATTCATTTGCTCATCTTAAAAATAACACTTAAATTTCACATCGAATTAATTAAAAAAATCTCACATTCGGAAATTGAATTTGAGTCGTTTGTATGATAAATTTGATGAAGGGTATTTTTTTAATATGTTTGCGAAATCAAGCAATAGACTGCATCGCAGTGGGAATAAAAACAAGTACAGAATATTCAAACATATTACTTCAACAAATCCATGAGAGATAATTTTTTGATTTCCTTGATATTGTATTTACAGCTGCAGCCGTATACCTCAATGCAGATTCCCAGTTGGACTTTAACACAGCTGAGGAATATAAAATGTTCATTACATGTACCGGAAGTTCATCTCTGGAATCCATTTTGACAATACGAATTCTGGATAAATCTGTGACTACTCCTTATTCAGTACCAGGTACGGTATATAGCATATCGTTAAACACCAAAAAGTCATGTGCTTCATTAACACATAACGTAAAGAGACTTCTTTGAAGGACAGATGATACAAACAAAAAATGGATGACTGGATTGGTATATACTTTATAACCTTATTTATTGCATATGATGCAAATGACAGATTTCTAAAATATAAAAAAAATTGTAAACCTTCTGTGATGTTCAAAATATTTGAAACCATCCTTATTATTCTAGACAAATATTTTTCACTTCAAATTCCATTTTTGTGCAACTTTGAAGAAAAAAATTAAAAAACTACACGGTGAAACTTATTCATTCTAATAATTAAAACATGACCCAAGTTGTTATTTTCATTTTTTAACAAAAGTTTGTATCATCTGTCATTAATCCTGGTAGTTATAGCATCTGAGTTAGAGTCGATCCTTACGTCGTGGGGTTCGAATCGCACTGTGGGACGTGGAGAACGGTCATGAGGATGAGAGGTCCCGTGTCGCAGTAGGTGCTGGCACGAAAAAGATCCCTCCCTGCTCAATGGCCCTGAGTGCCGAGCATAGGACATTGTATCTCTCCACCGGCGTCAATTGGTGGCGTCTTCATATGAGTGAAGAATTCTCGGGAGGGACGTTAAACAGCATACAATCAATAAATCAATCTTTTCATCCCGGTGTTTTTATTACGTAATTTATTATGTAATTATTTGCATAATTATTGGTATGTGTGAAGTTTTAAAAAATATCAATCCTCTTGCATATCGATTCAACTTGGATATATTTACTCCGTATGTGGCTGATAATGGTGTATTCCTGCATAAATAAGGGTAAATGGTGATGGGAAAATTGAAGTAATAATAAAAAAGATATTACCACTTCTAATAATTAACTACTTCCTTTATTTATAAAAGATACCAACATAAGTGGACTAAACTAGTTTTCACTATGGCCCTTTAAATATGTAATAAGACAAATCGTATGTTTACGAAGAAATATATATCCCTTTTCAGACTGGGCGGCGGGGGCCATTGTTGTCAGCGTCGGTTCTATGGGTGTCGTCCTCGGTATGGTCTGCTTTCTGATTGTCGTCATTTTGGCAACAACTGACGAAGCTGAAGCACTTCCGCCGGTAGAGGAAGAGGAGACAACAAAGACAGAAGTTGAAGATAGTAAAAAGATATTAAAAAACGTTGATAAAAAACCTAAGTATAGAGAGGGCAGAGTGTTTTGAATCGTATGTTATTTCTAGATATTTCTCATCTTGTCTTTTCAAAAAAAAACCTTGCCCATAACTTTTGATTTAGTGGAGCTATGATTCATATTTCAAATATCCTTGTGATAAGACCATTTGGGTAAGCCTTTTGACCTTGACCTTGGAACAGTAAAAATTCCAAACTTTTACTTTGGCCATAACTTTTGAATGGTAGGTACTAGGACTTTCATATTTCAAATATTTATTCTTTGTACAATTACGTTTTGAAAAAACTCATAAAAAAGTATATATTTTTACACATAAGTTATTCTTGTAAAAAGACCTTTCACTTTTACCTTCTTTTAACTACTTTTTAAGAATTATAACCTTGGTCACAACTTTTGAACAGTAAAAAAACTTTATATTTCACATATGTATTCTTTGTGGCAATTGGATACCAGAACTTTGACCTTTTAACCTTGACCTTTGCTTGTTGAAAAACTTTAACCTTGACCATTTTACAGGGCTAGGGCTTTCGTACTTCACGTTGATATCAAACCTTATTTTTAAAAACTTTAACCTTGTTTTTCAGAAACTAGGACATATTTTAAATATTTATATTCTTTGTGGCAAGACCTGTGAATTAACACCCTAAAAAATAAAAACAATTCTTTGAATTTGCTTGTTTTCTAGATATTTTTCATGTTGTCTTTTCAAAAAGAAACATTCATTGTTGAACAAATATCTTGCATATACATAAGAATTAAAACAGTATTTACCAAGGCCTGAACTTGTCTTGTAGAATTACGTTTTGCTAATCATTATATAATTTTTGTATTAATGATTTTCGTCTTTAAATCATATTTTAGGCATACGATAAAAAAGAATGAAGGATGACATTTGCTTATTGATGATCATTTTATTTTTAACAGCAAATTATCGTTTTCAACATATCACTAAATTAACATTAAAAACAATAATCAGTCACAATTCACCTATCGTTAATTTGTAGAAAAATCATAAGTTGTCTTAAAATGCCGTACGTTTAGTACTGCTTTTATACTGTAAGAATTTTACAAATACATGTTAATCAGCATCAACGACGAATAAACGTACGTTTCTTATATCTTTATTGACGTTTTCATTCTTTATATGTCAGGTTTCGCTTTGTCGATGTTAAATATATTTTAAGATTGCACAGTCATGGGAAGAAAATGTGATGTGTATTCGTTGTGTATTTTAGTGGTTTAAACTAAAAGAATACTGATTTTTAAGAAATTAAATACATCTCTTGTTTCAATCCTTTTTATCAGTTTAGAGCAGGCCGTCAGACCATAAACTTTCATGTCTAATGAATTTCATCTTTAGAAGTTTATGATCTTTTATTGCTGTTAGGGTAAAAAAATTAACTATTTTCGCGCAAAGTTTGCTTTTTGAAAAAAAAAATCATGCCAAAAATCATTACATATTTATAGTAAGAATTTGTTATTTTTAATAAATGTGTTATGTATTTTGATACAGCGTTCTTTGTCACTTGTTTTACTTATCGTGCCTTTTATTGTTTTAGCAATATGATTTTACTTTATTTATTTAAAATTTAAGTATGATGTTTCCTTTCTTGGAGAAATAGACGAGTTGCTACTTTGAAGCAAATAATCTTTTTCTTTGTATTTTTATTATTTTTTTTTTAATTGTGTTGCCAAAAAAAAAATTTTTTTTAGACAATAAACTTACTTCAATATCAGAATTGAAACAAAATTGTTTTTCATTTTTTTTAATTTCAGAATATGTTTCTCGACATGTCATTAATCAATTCTAAAAATGTGTCTTTCTCACATATTGAACTTTTTTTGTTTTATAGCAAGAACCAAATATATCATTATGTGTGTTGTGAAAAGGTGTTTAAAACAATCAAGTATTACATGAATGAAAATAGCGATAACTAAGTTAAGTGAAGGAAATGGTTGAAAACACTGTCATATAAACTTATTTGAATTGACTAACCCAAGTCTGTCTCTATTAAGTTAAAACAATAGAATCTTCATTTCTTTATTGTTGATTTGGTGTTTTAATAAGTATAATTCTTCTCATAGTAATCATATCCTTCACTGGCAAGTTGCTTTTAGATACACATACCAATGAGTTGTTTCTTCATGGAGATTTTGAAAAAAAGTTTGTTTCTTGTTGTAATAGTTGATAGATCTATATACCGTAATTTGCTTTTAAAACCAAGAGTATAATACTTATACTAATAGCAAAATGTAGTACTTATTAGGTCATACTTCGCAGTCTGATCACTCGTCTTATCACTCAAATATTTGTACAGACATGGCCCCGTTACATGAAATCAAGGAACCGACCTCATTGGAATGTTGTACTTTGGATTTTGTTTGACAGGTAAGACATTTCATAATGGAGTAAATAAGTCACATGTACATACATACTTTATGATCTCTGTGCCTTTGAAGCCTCATTAAGTAGAAATAATATAGTTTATATTATACGTTTTTTAAATACATTTTTGTATATTTTCAACAGATATATGGTATAATTTGTTTATTTTATCATAATACAAAAGAATATCAAAATTATGCTTCGTCTTAGTGCTAGAATGTAAGAGATTTCAACAATGAAAGTTTCTCCAAAGGCAAAATTATCATATTAAAATCCATGTATTACTTTAAGCTTAAAGATATTATGACGTCATAATCAATTTCAACTTTCTTTTTCCCGTTTTACGGCTTTAGCAGAAATATGTAGAAAATAGGGTATTTTCATGACATTCAATTCATATGAAAAATAAACTTATATTAAATTTGAAATTGAGTTAAAGAGGAGGCTATATTACATCCCTTTGTCGAATATGAAAAAAAATCCCATATGGCCTTTTTTTCATTGAAAATGAAAAAAAACAGTTTTTCAGTTTGCCTACAAATTATGCCCCGAAACATCTTATTTGACCAAGCTAAAGTTGTAAAGCATAAAGTTTGATAAATCTGTAAAAGTTTGCAAAAGTAATTATTTTGTTTAAATTTCTATTGTAATCAAAGTTTACATTAATTTCCTTTTAAAAAGACTTAAACCATTGTCAATATAGTGTTAATTAGAAAGTTATATGCAGAATTAAATTTTGGTCCTCTTCATAAGTTCTTTTGTAAAACGGGCCCCTGATCCCACAAGTGATGTTTTGGAGGTCCATTTATGCTCTGCTTCCAAATTTGTATTGTTTAATTAAGAAATAAGGTATCATTTTTAAACATCTATCGGGATATAAATACGGGTTGGTCACGAGATTAAATTCCATAAAGCCCGAAGGGCTTTATGATGAATTTAATCTCGTACCAACCCGTATTTATAGCCCGATAGATGTTTTAAAATGATACCTTATTACTTATATTTACATTTGTGACGTATTCATACTTTATATTTGTCTGATTATGACTTTTAACGTGTGAAATGCATTATTTTTCAAACCCAACGGCAAGTATTGTAATCCACTGATCGCGCGTCGACCCTTCATGACGTCACTGAGAAATTACGTCAAACGATTATCCAAACGCACATCTATGACCTCTTCCATACCTGTATTTATACAGTTATAGTTCCTTTCAGTAGTGTTATATAAAGGAAAACATTTGCAAATGTAAATATTGGACTTTTAAGCTTGAATACTGTTCTTCATCTCAGTTAGTTATATTGAATATATATTACACTGTACAAGTAGATTTGCATACACGGAAAGTTATATTACTAATTATATATATTAAGGATCTCGGTCAATATAAAATAAAGAACCATGGCATGACAAAAACATAAAAAATGTAAAAGATGAATATCTAGAAACACAAAAAGTTTAATTGGTGAAGCAAGCCTCATTTATCTATGTTATTTATTAAGTTATTTTATGGAACTGAGGTCAAGTTGATGAGAATCCTAGACAAATAACATTACACTTCTTTCTTTCTAAGTCTTACTCAGTTTCCATGCGAGTCCAGTGTCGTCTGCTTTATGCGATGACGCTGATTATGACGCGTGCACCAGACTATCACGTGTATCTGATGTCTGCAACGATCTATGCTTTGCTAAATATTGTCCTCGAACATGCGGAAAATGCCGTAAGTAATAGTTTATTTTTTTCTTCATAAAACATTAAAATAATAAAGTTTAAATATTTTTTTTTCTAATGTTAATTTCATGATTTTAAGGAAATAAAACGTTTCTGAGCTTGTTTCAAACTTGTGAAATAGACATGTTTTCCATTTTCAAATAATTTAATTTTGTTTATATTCTCACCTCTCATCGGTTGATTTCCAAAAAGGAACGCAAATATTTTGTGTAATCTGGTTTGGTATGGGGACACACCCCCTTGACGACCAGCTTAATCATCTTATCCATGCAATCCCCTCATTTCCAGTCCTCGGATTCCAAGGAAAATTCAAGATTTAATAAATGTATCTTTAACTTCAAACACTTACTCGATCTTACTTCATGTAAACACACATCATGGCTGCTTGATCTATGTATCAGTTATTACCTCCCCTCGCTTCACATCACTTCCGTTACTACGGTTGTATTATTGCGCGGTAAATTTGAACTCATAAAAAGCAACACAATTTTACATCCAAAGTTGTTGCATTATTTTAAAATTAAATTATAAGGAATGACTCTAATTCTTGGCCAAATTATCGAGTATAATCTGGTTTGGGTCAGTTTACGCTTTTTTTATAATCCGCTTCGCGGATTATAACGGGTAAACTGACCCAAACCAGATTATACTCGATAATTTGGCCAAGAATTAGAGTCATTCCTTAAATATCATATTGACACTTGAATATTTGATAAAGGATAATTAAAATTTAAGGAAGGCTGAGATGAACAGAAAATAAGTTAAATAACTGTATGAAATTCGAATCTGGTCTTTAAAAAAAATGCACAGTTCATTATACCAAGGCCATCATAGAAAGAGATGATGTGTTTCCTTCCTTGATGAAAACTTTCCATATTTTCAAAGTTTACATTTCAATTAGAGCGTCAAATTTGCCAATGTTCTTGTACACTGGCTTTGCATTATAAAATGCAGTTGAAACTGGTGTATTTGTAAGCAATGTTTACAATGTTTGATGGAAGAAGATCATATCATGAAAGATATATTTTGTTGAATTTTTTGCCGGAATAAAATTTATATTACCAATGGAAAATATACTTTGAAGCGTTATTTAAATTATTAAAGGAATATTCATGTATATGGAAAATTGAATGATTATATTAATTTTACCAATGACAAAGTTTGCATGATGCATTCTTAGCTAAAGTATAGTACTTGTTTGAATGAAAGCAATTATGATTTCACCTGCATTATTTCATTTAATCTTTGAAAATTTATAGTTTTTGTCCTAAAAATGAGGTAGTTTTTGAAAGATACTATAATGCATTCTGTCATATTCTTATCACATTAATATATAACCAAATTGTTTCTAACTCCAAGCTTTGAAGTGTTACAACTGTTCCGCCGAACCCTCAGCAAATACTTGCAATACCACGGAAATATGTTCATCATTTGGTCAGGTTTGTAAAAATACTACCTGCAGAATGTTTGCAATTGACATTTACAAATACATATAAATAAATAAAAATGGTTTGTAGTTTGATATATAATGAAATCTTTTCTTTGTTAATCTGTTTTGTAGAAGTGTATTGTCATGGAATCTTTGAACTCTGATTTGTCGATGAGCTATAAATCAGGCTGTGCTACAGGCCATGTAAGTAGAAAAGGAAATAACAATACTCCAAAAATAAGCTGCTCTTCAAAACAGTTTTAAACAAAATTGATGTTAACTTACATATCTCATCTTGTCATTTATTCATGTATCGTAGGTTTGTAGCCTGCTTTTTGGAGGACAACCGCATCAAACCAGAGGCCAATGTTGTGATCATGATTTATGTAATCATGTTATTCCACATTCCAAGCGTATAACTGGAATAACTGGACTACAGGGAACAGATATAACACTGAACACAAACCTAGAACTATTTAGAGGTCCAAGTTGATTTTATTATAAGCCTAGATTATAAAGTGTCATGGTTCAACTATAGTCTTTCTTATTTTTTAAAGCACCATTTCAATTATATTATTTTATACAATGTTTTTAGAGTGCCATGAGATTGATTATACTGCCTGTCAAATAATGAAGCAAAAAATTAACAATATGTGTGATGAAGCTTGCTGGGTACAGGCCTGTCCTCAAACATGTGGCAAATGCGGTATGTGTTTAATGAAACGAATAACTATGTTACATATCTATGAAAACAGTCACTATTTGTTCCTTTTATTAGCATTTCGATAATTATGCACATAAGATAGACATAGTTTCAAGTAATCTTTGCTGACTTGAAAAAAAAATCAATGATTAGGATTCAAAAGATTTTTAAAACGACGGTTGCAAATCTCTCTATGCTGCTTCTGCTTTGGATGTGTCTTGTCTTTTTATGCTGTTAGCCAGCTGTTTTTCTTGTGATCTGGTGAGCCATCCAAGACATTGTTCAAATACTACCGTTTGTGAACCCGGTGAGGTAAAAACAATAAAAAGTCCTCTTCTAAATTCATGTCCATACCTAAAGCAATAACTCTCTATAAATAAAATATCACACTAATACTACCATGGATTAAACCATTTTTTTTTTAAATTTCTCTTTTTTTATATATAGCAATGTTATTCAATGAAACATTTTTCTACTGATGGTGGATACGCGTACAAAATGGGTTGTCTAAAGCAGCAGGTGTGTTGGATAATGAATAATGCGTACTTCGATCGTACTTAGTGCGTACAATTCGTACTCAACAACTCTTCGTAATACACTGTATAAAATTTGAATCAGAGCATTTGGAAATGACTTCTTCCATTTTAATGTTTAGGAGTAGTTTTTGTAGGCTTGTTCAAGACTTCGCACGTCGTTCAGTAATGTCTTTGGACGAAGAGACGAGATAGAATTGCCTTTAGACGGAGATTGCTGTCAAGGAGACCTTTGCAACAATGTTGTCTTGAGACATTCAACTACCAGTACAACAACAACGACAACAACAACGACGACAACAACAACGTCAATGCCAACGACAACAACAACACAAACAACGACGACGCCGACAACATCAACAACCCGTGATCCCCTGGGTATTAAAGCTTATACATGGAACTTGTTATTAGAAATATTGGCACTTTTCAATTAAACAAGTTTGTCGAACTCATATGTTCTCTAGGTTGCACTTATTCCTTTGGGAGTCGATGCCCGGATACACACCAACAAATCGGCAATAAATGTCTTATGGTTTCCAGTAAACCTTTGGATTTTGAAGAAGCAAAGGTTGGCATAATAAAAAATAAGTCTACGATATAGTAATGAGTATGTTGTAACCTTGAAGAGGATAAGGAAAATAATTCTTCTGAAATATATTTTTGATAATAAAGTTAAAGATTTTCTGCATTTCAATTCAAAAGTGTTGTTGCATGTCATAGAATGTGGTCATTGAAAAAAAAGAGAAAAAAGTTGATTACTTATTAAAACTGAATATTTGAGTCTCGTGTTATGACAGGCGTTGGGGCGCTAAAATCAATTTATCAAAGGTATTAATAGTTGAATAAAAGTGATCATTAGTTGTCATGTATCAATAAAATATATGTGAAATAATACATGAATGCGACACTTCAAATATTCAGTCAATAAGTCATATAACTTGCAATGTAATTAGAAGCTATAATGACAGACAGACATTCTTTATTTCCTCTGCAGCAGAGATCAATGCATCAAACTATTAAGTATGTAACAATATTTGAACTTTTAAACAAAAATGTGGAAATATATATACAATCTCTCAATTACGCAAGTTACTGTCCATAATTTAAACACTATGTACATCATTTATCAATTTTTTGAAGTTTTACACTTCATGTAAGTGAGTGTTCATTTCTGTCATCATTCGCGCAACGCCAGTTGCAACAGCAAGCATAAACATTTCCCACTCCTCCTCAGATACGATAGAACCACGTCTTGATCCAAGAATGGTATCAGCGATTACGTCGTCCCTATTATTTGTGAGATTAACGTAAGATTGGACATTTATCGCGTTTACTATTTCGTCCATCAAGCTGTCTCTGCTACCAAATAGCGTTGGACATTCAAGGAGAAAATGCAATGCAATATCACTTGTTGTACGCGTACACAATTTGCAGTTCACCTCCTCTTTAACGATGTCGACCGAGAGTCTAATTATTGAGGCTAATTTCCATTTGTGTTTCGGAAGCTTCAAACCGAGTAGCCAAAGGGGATGAGTTGATAAATTTTCATGTATTTCTGCGTATCTGCGAAGCTCCTTTCTTTGATTCAAGTTCTCCCTCCACTCACGTTCAGCAGCAGTGTCAACTACAGTTCCTACGAATTGCTTCCAGGTGTATTTTAGTGGAACGTCACGATTCAAAAGGTACTCTCTGAAAAAGAAATCAATGTTGTATTCCCTCATTATGGAGTGAATATCTGCTAGGAATCCACGCTTCGGTCTTAGTGTCGTCGAACCAAAAGAGCACAACCTTGCAATGAAAAGCTTTTTGTAGAATAGAGAATAACTTGATGTACAGAGTCTGTTCCAGAACATCAACTTAATTTTATCTATACTCCTTTTCATTTCAACCAGGCCAAGGGAAAAGATGGTACACAGAGTTGGTGATCTTTGGTCAAATCCTTGCATTCGACGGGCCGCGTATCTCTGTACAATTTCCAGCTCTTCGATCGACTTTTTAGAGATCACATCCCATAATTCGCATCCATACAAGATCGATGGCATGACAACTGTTTTCCATAGTTTAACGCTGGTCATGGGATGTATACCCTGATCATGAACTCCTATGTTGATAAGTGAGTTTAATATGCGCTTGCCCTTCCTGCATGCTTGTGTAATTGTTGTATCATTTCGCAACCTATCAGTAAGGACGACCCCAGCATAAACATTCTCTGAGTGTAAGTTGATGATTTCCTGGCCAAGAATAAATGGTCTAGCCGCAGGTTGCTTTTGTCGCTTTTTGCTAGAGCTAAAGAATAAAATACAACTTTTGTTAGGATTATAGCGCAAGTGCCAACGTCTAGCGTAATTGTAGACAATATCCAGCTGCTTCTGGAGACCACTGGGAGTGTTGGATATAAGGGAAGTGTCGTCAGCCAGAATAACACTTGGAATGTGAAGGTCACACACACATGCTCCAGTCGCACTTTTATCCAGCTTTCTATCAATCCGTCAATCATCAGAAGGAAAAACCACGACGATGGTACCCTTCCATGTCCGACACCTTGCTGTAAAGTGAATTCCTTCGACAGTTCTTTTTCGTATAGGATTTGAGAGCTGGAATCACAAAAAAAGTCGGAAAGCAAACGCCACCCTTTACCATTGAAACCTAACTTGTACAGTTTGTAGAGTAAACCATTATGCCACACGCTGTTAAATGCCTTTTGGTTGTCTAAAAATGCCACATAAATATCAGAGTCTCTCTCTATATAGTGGTGAATTGTTTCCGTTATAACAAATCCTGCCGGTATACTTCCACATCCTGGACGGAAACCCTGCTGAAGAGGGTGTGGAAAAAGAATTTTAGCGTTGATATGCTTTATTCTTGTGTACAATATATTTTCAAATAACTTTTGTAGGACTGAGGTTAGGGTTATATCTCTATAACTATTTGGCTCCAGCCTGTCTTTTTTCCTCCTTTGAACAAAGTTATAGTAACTCCTCTTTTGAATTGTATCGGATATTTTTCGTTGTTTAGAATTGCGTTAAACAGTTCTAACAGGATTTCTAGAATAATGTCTTGCACAAAGCGCAAATGTTCAATGACGAGTTTGTCAAGGCCAGGTGCTTTTCCGTTTTTCATTTTCTCCATTGCTTCTGTAACCTCTTCTTTTTTTGTAATATTTTATTAAACCCCCTCTCCACCCTTTATTTTGTTTTGATTTTACCAAAGTTATTATGTAATGGATGACAGAACATTGTTAGAAAATATTTCAAAGAAATATAAAGAGGATCTAAAACAGATTATTATACTTCTGTTAAAATGTTTCCTATATAAAGTTCAGAAGGTAAAAAATAGCTATCTTTTATAGTTCACGCATACCAAAGCTATACCCCGGGGTATAGTTTTTGCTATCCACCCACGGAAAATTTTCATGCAATTTTTGCCTCCAATTTTGATTTCCAGCGATAAATCTATTGACTGATGATGTTATAATGACTTCAGTAGCATTGTGACGTCATCAGGATTTCAGATTATTCTTGCAGTATTATCTTACTCCAAAAAATTCAAACCTCAGAAATTATAATATACATCAGTATAATAAAACACTTATCCACTGGTTGTGAGTGGGATAGCTCTTTTATCAAACCCTTGACAGGAACTATTCCCCTCGGGCAAGCCCTCGGGGAATAGTTCACTGTCGCGGGTTTGATAAAAGAGGTATCCCACTCACAACCAGTGGATAAGTGTAATAAAAATCATCTGTTCTGTGGGAATGTTTTACGTTTGTTAATTCGCGACCTTTCGGTTATAAATGAAAAGTTTGTAATTAAAATGTTCAAGTATTTTATACTCTGTAATACATGATCTACAGTGTATTTTTAAATGTGTTGGATCATTTTTCTCATATATATATTTCATGTTTGACATATTTAAGATATCTCTGTTTCTTAAAACTTGATGTTAATGAGATGAGAATGTTTAATTCCCTAGAGATACTGTTATTATCATTGCTCCACTTTGGCAGAGGAAATCGACGGAAGGAATTTTTACTCCATTCAGCAATATTTATTGGGGTACTTTAGACAACATATAAACATAGGTAATGGACATTTTATTGATGTCGATAAAATGATTTTGCTTTGCTATTTTAATAATATTTTCTTCTTTTTTATATATGAAGGAAACTATTCAATACTCAAGTGGAGTTTATCTTGATGGTAAAAGCTGCAATAGTTATATTTTGTTTTGTGTTCGGTAATATGTTATTTTATTAATTTTTTTTTCTCTTTAAGGCAAAGGTTTTTAAAATATGTAGGTTAAATTGAGTTATATTGTGAAAATTATTAGACAAGAAAAAATAAAATTTCCATTTTTGCACTTGCTTATGATTTGTTAGTCAGAGGAGATTGTCCTTAGTTCTAGTCAGATTTATTTTCTTCCAAGGGTGTGATCTTTTTCCAAAGCATTGTAGTTCGTGAAATATATTGAAAATTAATATAGCTTTATTTGCAGGAGAGACTGGAAACGTCTACCTTGGAGCCATTGACAGACACCATGACGGAAAATTTACCTGGATCATATCAGGGACCATAGCAGCTGTACCAATCGGATTGGAATATAATCATTACTGCGGGGTACTTGTTTACGACACAGGGAGGCTAAAACCAGTCTCATGCAGCGAATCTCATTATGCTCTTTGTGAAGCTCCATTAAAATTAAACTACATTACAATTTATAATTTTTTGCCAAAATCCAAAGTGATGTGCCAAGACCTAGAAGATATACAAGAATAAGATACAGTATAAGATTAATTGTGATATTATAATAATAAAAGTGTTTTTTTTTTATAACAACTACTAGTAAGTATGAAAAAAGGCAAATTTTAAGTAGTAACAGTCGTCAATTTGCATCTCGTACAGTATTTTCTTTTACTTTTTCTATTATGGCTATCAATCGAACTAGAGCAAATCTAGTCAAATTTATTATCATTCTGATGATCTTTATCAAGTTTTTGTGTCAATGCAATCACATATACTAGTATGTCGCCGCGAAACGCAGTGTTTAGAGAGTATTGATGAACATATTCGCTAATTTCTGGAACAATTTTAATCTGTCCCACGTGGGACTAATATTACGCCGCATATACTTATCACTAGACTTTACAAGGTTGGATTTCTAGAAAGTATGCTTTTGATTTATCAAATGAAAAGAATGTTGTTCAATCAAGACATGTTTTAATAAAGCATGAAATGATGATTAAATATATAAAACTTTTTTTTAGAAATAAATCTATTTAAAAAAAAATTGAAAAACATATACCTTAATGAACATGCAAAAATATACCTTATTATCATTTTTTTTCTCGTAATTATAATTCATTGATTTAGATGTATTCAAAAACTAGGACATATGCTTATATAAAATAATAAATGAGGTCATATGATTTTCTGGTTTCTATTTCAATCAATCCTTGTATTGATAAGAAAGATAAGGTATAAACTTCGAATGGAAGCAAAACATGACTGATTTTCCTGCAATTATTGCTGGTAAGATACAATATATCATTGCTTAATCATTATTCGTCTTTTAACATTAAGCATATTGCACATTAACTTTACCTACCATATCTTAAATGACAGTGATCTGCCTGTGTGGTATTGGTGGGATTTCCTCCCAGACAACATGTGATGATGTAGATACCACTGTATGTCAGAAGTTCCAGGATAACCGTGATATCTGTGTGGACCCGTGTCTGTCTAAACTGTGTCCCAGAACTTGTGGAACATGTCGTAAGCTACTCTTCTCTCTTCTTCTCTTACTCTTTACTTTATATTTCAAATTAAAAATGTTTATATCCATCCTATTACATTGTTTGTTATTAATTGATTCGACTCTTTTACAGCATTAAAATGTTACAAATGTGATTCCGTATCTAACGTACAGGACTGTAATACTACATTGGAGTGTCCCGCAAACAATATGGTAAGTGTTATTTGAGCGACTGTATTCTATTTAAAAGATATACTGTAAATCGTTTTAATTCCACGGTGTTAAAATTTCACGATGTCACAAAAAGTACAAACAGTGATGGTTTTAATTTCACGCTGCAAGAAATTAATTCAAATTTTGTATACGCATATAAAGGTTTTTAAAAACTAATAATAACATTCACGATGGGTTTAATTTCGCGGGAAAATGATTAATCGCGAACATAATGAAATTAAAACCATCGTCATTATTTGCCAATCTACATTACTCATATTACGTGTACTAAATTTCGGTTGTAAATTGATATATTTTTGAACTTTCTCCTGTACAAAAAGTTGTATTTTATTCCAGAGTTATACCTACTTTACGATTACATACAAGTTAAATTAGCAATAATTTTCCTAAGGACATATTTTTTTTTTACTAAATCAAGCAATGCAAATGCAAGGAAAAAAATCAAATAGAGTTCCACCATAATTATTGGATTTTATTTTATTGCAGTGCATTGTCACTGAGTCCTTGGGAGCTGATTTTTCTATGACGTATCGTTTAGGATGTGCAACCAATGATGTGAGTATCAATTAATAAAAAAAATTTACTGATATATAATATTTTTATTCAAGAACAAATTGAAGGACTTAAATTTAGCTGGGTTTTTTTTTTCAGAGAAAGACTTTTTAACACAATTTAACAAAGTTAAAGTGATGCTTTATTTCATTGCATACATAAAAGTTAGTATTAGCATTGAACATTTTTTATGAATAACAGGTGTGCTCGCAATTATTTGGATCCGCTCCTACTGGATCGTCTCTGATTGTTGGAAAGAGAGCACCCGCAAAGAGAGCAAATTTAAATGGTGACTGTTGCAACACAGACTTGTGTAATAGACACTTTCCTACACCGCCACGGGTTATGCCAAATGTTACAACAACCATGGAAATGATGACGACTACTGTAATGATGACGTCAACAACAGGTGAAAATTATGACTTTTAATGAACAAATGTCCCTGTTTACATTAATAAGGGGGTTTGTTCTTTGTTTAAAAAACAATTCTTGTCAGCTCCATAGCTATTATAGCGGCTTTTAATCATATTTATACATTTTATGAATGTATAATGGCTCTTAAAAATGCAGAACAGCTGTTTATGTAAAATAATACTAAAATTTTTCTTTATTTTTAACGTCATATTCAACACTGGATATTGTATATTTATAGAAGCTTCCAATCTCAAATGTATGGATATTGACACATCAGCTTGCCAGAGGCTATTTAGTCTCAATAAAGCCATGTGTAGTGATCCTTGTGTGGTACAGGCTTGTCCAAGAACGTGTGGGCAGTGTTGTAAGTGTTTTAAATACACAGTGTTTTCGTCTGCTTTTTAAAGGGGCTGTTTGAGGCCATTTTTACAATCCCTTTAGGAAGATGATAGAAAGTTAAAACAATATGATCAAACTTTAAAACTAAAATTTATTAATTTTTTCTTTGCCAAATGATAGTTGAGAGCAACAACAGGTGAAAAATCTATGTTATTTTTTAATGAAGAAAATGTTCCTGTTTAAAATAACATTTCTTACATTGCCGATGATTGGGGGATGAGACGCGCCCTATTCATTGAAAATTATACATATAATCATATAAAATGACATTGGATACTTAACTTTGTCCAAAAGAGTAATTGAATGGTTTAAACCCCAATCACATTTCCAAAAACGCTTTTATATTGGCTTTTAAACCTATTTTTTTGTCGGCCGACCAATTTTATGTCCATCAGTCCAAGTTATAATTTTTCTGAAATTCATACGTCGGTGGCCGATTTCTTCAACTGAATGTATAATGACTCTGGTCAGTTTAAGTATAAGTCACATTATCCAACGATGTATACGATGAGAAACTGCCTTTTTTTATGATGTAAAATAATACTAAAGTTATTCTTTATTTTAAAAAATTCAGATGCAGTACATCGCTTGATCATTAACACATCTATATTTACAGAGCATCGTCCAATATCCGTTGAAAATGTTTATGGATATTGACACATCAGCCTGCCATGTAGACTGTTCACCAATGTATGAGCAATGTAATATACATCGGCCGATTATCCTGGAACATCGTTTTATAATTAGCCATGTGTAGTTCTCTCATAAAACCTTGTGTGGTACAACGCTTAATGTGACCTTTTAAGAAGGTGTGGGCAGTGTTGTAACACCACGTGTTTTAAATACCGGCCGGGAAATGTTTTATTAACTCGGTCGTCCGTGCATTTTAAAATTTCGGCCGACGGTGTAGACCAACTTCATTTGTGAATATTTAAAATAAACACAAACAAAATTTTGCTGAAATTTTTTGAACCGTAAAATATAAAGATCTTAAGTATTCTTTGGGAAGGTCGTTTTTATGCAATTCCATACAAATATTGCACACATTTTCAACACAATTCAGCCTTGCAAACATTACTTTTTATAGATCTATAAAAAATTCTTTTCTTTTTTGTGCTATTTATAAAGGCCACACTGTAAAGCAAAGCCTTTATAAAATTGACCTAGGCATATTTTTTACTTAACATATCAACAGACTTTAAAATGAATTAAATGCATAAATCCTTGATAATTATTCTTTAAAATGCATATATAATGAACTTTTAAAAAATCGTATATTATATATTTGTTATTGAGCGCTTTTTATTTATTCTTTTATTGTGTCCTTACTGTAAAGCAAATCCTTTATAATTTGATGAAAAATGAAAATCCTCATTTTCTTTAGAAAGCTAATTCCTATTTAATTCATATCATTATGTTGATTTGTTATTGACCCTTGGCGTCTTTTTTTTTTTTTTTATAATTGTTTGCTTTTATAAACATGTGATATTTGTGCATTTTGCCTTGACATAAGCGGAATGCTATTGGTGTGACCATGTTAAGAATCCTGAACAATGCAACACAACCACGCAATGTGAGAGAGAAGAGGTAAGAGAACTCGCTTTGTTGTTTGTTTATTCATTTATTTTTCGAATTATAATAGAACCTATTGCTATATAAAAATCATTTGAATTATACATAAATTCACTTTTATAACACTATTGCAGACTTGCTATGTATTGGAGACTCTTTCATACAGTGGAGAACATTCTTACAATGTTGGATGTATGCATCAGAAGGCAAGCAATTTAAACAACTAGCATGAAAACATACGGAGATAACGAAAAGTATTAAGGATTAAAAGTCCATAGAACAATACAAAACAGGAGCAGAGCAAACACGAACCTCAAGAACATCTGGGTGGGATCCGGTGCCAAGGAGGAGTGAGCATCTCCTGCCAACCGGTCACAAATGCGGCATGCTCCTTGTCATGATTGGGAAATAACGGAAGTATCCGCCGTCAATTCAGTGTATAAATAATGGACTAACAACTAGTATGAAAAATGTCAGTCAGGATTTAACTCAGTGATAAATTGTATTTGCTGACAAGGTCATATAACAAGGAAGTAGGTCTGTGTCTGTCTTTTTCAAATGCCTTTTACTCGAATTCAAGGTAACCATGATAATAACCACTGTATGTACTCACTGGACACTTAACTTTGACAGGTCTGCAGTCAGTTCCATACCCAAGCTAGTCATGTCTTTGGTAAGAGAGCAGATCCGGTCGAACTGTCTCTAGATGGCGACTGTTGTTCAGGTGACCTCTGTAACCATCACGCCCTGACCCATGTGACTGCTACTACTACTGCCGCTCCTACAGACAGTACGATAATTATAGATACTGTATATGTATGCAATTTAACCTAGGGTCATCTGTCAAATGTTTAGCTTAATAACATTAAGTAAGGTCAGTTCTCACTGTATCTCATCTTTAATACGTTATTAGGTTTTCTTTCAAAAAAAAAAAAGAAAAGAAGAAATTATTTTTATGCAGAAAAATTGTGTTTAAATCGAATGCTTTCCTATAGTGTGTGCCTACACAGCTGCTAATCACCACTGTCCTACAAACTTCCATCTCGTAGATGGTAAATGTTACATGATTGGAAGTACTGCTCTAAATTACGATGATGCTATGGTAAGTACCATCACCATATTAGTTATTTAATGCCTTATTCACAGTAGGATTATTTACTTTATTTGCAAAACTTTTTTTAAAAGTGAATTTCGATATTTAGAATTTTTGCAAGACGCACTGTTCCAAACTGGCCGAAAACCTATCACGCGGAGATTACATAGCACTTGAACATTTTGGTAAGATTTCTAGTAGATTAACCAGAAATAATTGTTTAGGAACTAAGAGGAATTTAAAATATTTTAAACATTATAGGACAATATGAAAGTTTCTTTTGGTTTTAAGATAAAACCACTGTAAGCTACAATTTTTCCTGGCAATAATTGCAATATGAATTGCCCAATTTCAAATAACAACTTTGTAAAAAATATAATAAAGTGGAGGAATAAACGAATGATGAAACCAAAAAATGAACAGATATATATTAACAGTTTCTACTAATTAAGTAAAAAGGATTATTATAACCTATATGAAACCATATAATATAACTTGGAACAGTTTACGTGTAAACAGCCCCAAATTATGTTATATCGAAAAACATGGGTTAGAAAAAGCTTTATTCCTTGTAATTTGATACCAGTGTAGACAATAAGAGAATTTTTCCATCAAAAATTGCTTCCACTTGAGCATATCTTAAAAATAACGGAGGTAACTTATGTTAAATGATATAAACTAAATCTTTTATCCAATCAAATGACGTGTTACATATAAATTAAATCATTTCAAATTAAAAAAAGTTTTAAGAAACGTGAATCTGTTTCTTTTTAATTCTTATACTCTTATAATTGAACACATAATTTAGTAAGTGGAAGGAGTCACCTATTCATTGGAGCTCGTGATCCACGAAAGAATGGCGAATTCGTCTGGAACACCAGTGGCAGACATGCAGGTACCTTAAACTATTTTGGAGCCATATTAGGAGTACACAATCCCAAACCATGTGCAAGTTTCTCTCCAGTCCGCCCAGGTCTCCATGCTGAAGATTGTACTGATTCTCTAAGGCCCCTGTGTCAGGCGTCTATGAAATAAATCTATATTACACAGTTTTAGACTCTGTTGCTGCTGATTGAGTAATATTTTTTACCCTCTACATTTCAATTTATCGTAAACGTAAAATGATTTGAAAGAGTTCTTTGACATTTAATTCTCCTTTTTGTCCTAATCTTCATTAAAATCCTCCTAAACTTCAATATCAATTGAAAAATATTCACACTAAACTTGCACTGCTAGTTTAGAAAAATCATGCCTTTACTGATTGTTTAATCCTCGTTTAAACAATGTTTACCCGGTGCCAGTTTTAATAACAGGTCCAAAGGTCAGAATTTCCAAATCGAATATGTGATTTCTGTTGACATTATGTAAAGAATCCTCACGGTAGCACCAATACCTTGAGATAGGTCATACGAAAACAATACTTTAGACTTTCTTTTTCGAAGGTATGCGGTAATAGCGGATTTATGCCAAATGAGATTTTTTTCCGGACTACATTTCCTATATCTTTTTAGCTCACCTGAGCCAAAGGCTCAAGTGAGCTTTTCTGATCACAGTTTGTCCGTTGTCTGTCGTCGTTGTCGTCGTAGTCGTCGTTGTCGTTGTAAACTTTTCACATTTTCATCTTCTTCTCAAGAACCACTGGGCCAAATTCAACCAAACTTGCTACAAAGTATCCTTGGATAACGGGGATTCAACTTTGTTCAAATGAAGGGCCACGCCCTTTTCCAAGGGGAGATAATTATGAATTAGAGAAAAATTAATGGCATTTTTAAAAAAATCTTCTTCTCAAGAACCACTAGGCCAGGAAAGATGAAACTCATGTGGAAACATCCTCAGGTAGTGTAAATTCAAATTTGTTCAAATCATGACCCCCGGGGCTAGGGTGGGGCCAAAATGGCCGATCAAAGTTTTACATAGGAATATATATGAATTTTTAAAAAAAAATCTTCTTCTTAAGAACCACTGGGCCAGGAAAGCTGAAACTCATGTGGAATCATCCTCAGATAGTGTAGATTCAAGTTTGTTCAAATCATGACCCCCGGGGCTAGGGTGGGGCCAAAATGGCCGATCAAAGTTTTACATAGGAGTATATAGGAAAAAATCTTCTTTTCAAGAACCACTGGGCCAGGAAAGCTGAAACTCATGTGAAATCATCCTCAGATAGTGTAAATTGAAGTTTGTTCAAATCATGACCCCATGGAGTAGGGATTAGTAAATATGGCCGATCAAAGTTTTACATAGGAATATATAGGAAAAATCGTTAAAAATCTTCTTCTCAAGAACCATTGAGACAGGAAAGATAAAACTCGTGTGAAATTATTCTCAGGTAGTGTAGATTCATGTTTGTTCAAATCATGACCCCCAGGGCTAGGGTGGGGCCAAAATGGCCGACCAAAGTTTTACATTGAAATATATAGTGAAATCTTTTTAAATCTTTTTTTCAAGTACTACAAAGCTATGATTAGTAATATTTATATGGAATCATCCTCAGGTAGTGTAGATTCTAGTTCGTTCAAATCATGATCCCATGGGGTGTTAAAATTTAAGCCCCCCCCCCCCCCCACCTCAGTAAACTTTCAGTTCTGATCTGATATGTGCTTTTTCCTAGCCGATGTGCTCAGGTGCTCAGGCGCTGTGGCCCCTGGGCCTCTTGTCGATCTTATCATCGTCAGCAGTTGTAAAACAGGACAAAATCAATCCAAAAAATTTTCTAACAATATTTGGTGCAGCAGGGGACAATCTTGCAAGATACTCGAGTAAAATAAAAGTACGACTCTAGGACCATTACGAAATTTAGAGGTTCCGACGATATACTGTGCGTGTAAGTAAATTGGCGAATTTAAAAGAATAAATCCTCTTAACACTATGGAATCCGGATAGGGCCACGCAGTTCACTATCGCATCATCGCACCATCGAGGTTTAGGTCGAAAGCGCGATGAAGCGATGGTGCGATGACGATGGTGCGATAGTGCGATAACGATGAAACGATGGTGCGATAGCGCGATGACGATGATGGTATGGCGCAACAATGCAATGACGATGGTGCGATAATGCAATGACGCGATAGTGCGATGACGTGATGGTGCGATGGTGATGACACGATGGTGCGATGACGATGGTGTGATAGTACGATGACGATGAAGCGATATTTACAATCGCTCAATCCTGCTATCGCACCATCGTCATCGCATTATCGCGCCATAGCATCATCGTCATCGCGCTATCGCATCATCGCTTCATCGTTATCGCACCATCGTTTCATCGTTATCGCGCCATCGACCTTCAAGTTGCTGCTCGATGGTGCGATAGTGAACTGCTTGGCCCTATCCGGATTCCATATAACACCGCAATCTCGCCCCTTTTTAAATGCAGAATTTTACCCTTTTAAATAAGAACATTGTTATCTTATAGCTAAAGTCTTCAAGTATAGTCTGTATAGATACTAATAAAGGATTTTTTAGGAAAAAGACTTTCAATATATACATGATATCGATTACAAATGTAAATAAAGTCGCATATTTCACTGTAAAACTTCGCCATTACGCGTACGGCTATATATAGGCCATTGTACTAGTACTAGCATTTGAATGAGAAGGCGGGGCGTCTATCAAGCGTGTGATTAGTATGAATACATTAGCGTGTGTTCAAGTTCAAGTTCAAGTTCAAGTTCAGTTTATTCACCCAGACCAATCTATTGGTACATGGGGTATTGTGCATAAATAACATATATACATTATATACAATATAAACAGTCTGGTCAGAGGTACATACACAATATAGAAAACATAACAAAAGATTAATGGTAGAAAAAAAGAGTGGGGAAACATATCAAGGAGGACAGACAGCAGCATAGATTTTTTGGATAAATATACAAAGTTTTTTCATCACTTTTTCGTTTGAGGTTGACATAATTTCCATGAATTTAATAACATTCGGTCTAGCCCAGGTAATTCTTTCTCACATTAGATAAAGTTTTACATTCTAAAATATAATGAAATTCATCTGCAATTTGATTGTTTTTACAAAGTGTACATATTCTATCGCACAGTGGTAAACCTTGCCATCTTCCTGTCTCTATCGGTAAATGGTGATTTGTGGTACGAAATTTCATAAATATTGCTCTAAATTTAGGAGATAACTTATCAATATAATTTTCAAATCCAAAATTTTGTTTAAAGATTCTGTAAGTTTGTCCTTTTGAAGAATTATTAACGTCACTAGACCACTTTTTAAATTGATCTTGTAATATTTGTTTTACGGTAGCAGTTATCCATTTATAATTCATATTGGCACTCTGTTCGTATACATTTAAACCACATATATTACATATTTTCTGTATACAATCTAACCATGGGTTTGTTAAATTTCCATCACAGTACAATTTAAACATATGTTTGTATAAAACATTTACAATTTTAGTTTGTGGGCTTGAAAAAAGCTTTGCCCAGAATGAAATCATTCTACAGTATACCGAGATGTACAGAGGAAAGCGACCTGTTTCACCATAGACCATGTACGATGGCGTGGAACTTTTCAAATTAAATACATGCTTTAAAAACTTCAAGTGTAAACGTTCTACAATATCAAGGTTTTCGTAGCCCCATACTTCAGAGCCATATAGTAAGACTTACTACAATCTATCAAAAAGATCAAATTGACAATCAACTGGTAATTTGAATTGTCTGATTTTTCTTATAATTCCATACATCGCTTTTTGAGCTTGTTCATATAAGTGTTTTTTTGTTTTACAAAAGGAACCAGAGCGTGAAAATACAACGCCTAGGTATTTAAATTCTTTAACGTTTTCAATAACTAAGTTGTCGTAATAAAATTTTCTTTTTAACATTGGACCCTTTGAAAATACCATGATCTTCGTTTTTTCGACATTAACTTTCAACTTCCATTGCAAACAATATTTTTGAAATTCGTTAATTGCATGTTGTAATTCATATATATAACAGTGTCATCTGCATATAAAAGTACTAACAGTTTAAAATACATTAGTAATTCATTCTCAATAGTACTTGAAATACTTTGCAAGCCTACAACATTCTTGTTAAGTAGAAAATCTTCAAGATCATTAATATACATGGAAAATAGAAATGGCGAGAGGTTTTCTACTCACATTGCGGCTGTGGACATGTCATTCATTTTCACCATAGACTTAATACCTTTATACATATTTTGAATATATTGAAAACATTTGCCTTTTATTCCATTAATTTGTAACTTGGTCCAAAGACCATTCAAAGTGTACTACGTTTTATGATGAAGTGACACCTAAAAGCCCCTTAATTAGCGCAAGAGACTGTACACATATAAGCATCCCTTTTTTTATTTGTAAGGCTTAACTTTTTTCTGCTTAACTTACGAGTTATATTTGAAATTATTTATTGGAAATTCGTCAAATTATTTATATATAAATGCACACAATGGAATTTGTGAATAGAACGTATAATGCAGGATTCACTCTTTTCCATACTTATTTTTATAGAGATAATAATCAATCCATTAAAGTTTATAATTAGTTAGCTTATTACATTCACGTGAATAATTATATCATATCATGTACATATATAATTTTGCGAAATTGGTGTGCTACAACAGATACGGCTGAATTGTGATATAAAACTTCACTCTGTGTATGAAAAATAAATTCCCAAGAAAGTGTAAATTAAACGTCAGTTTAACATCAATATTATCGTTGTTGGATATTAAAAAAAAACATCAGTGTTAGACAAGTGTACTTTGTACAGTCCAGATTGCATTGTTTAAAAAATGCTCGTCCTCTAGTGAGATAAACAATAAACCATTTCAAAAAAAAAAAATTACGCCCTTTTTCACTCGATTTTTGTTACATACTAATATTTATATTTAAACCTTTGATTGTTGTTAGATTTTGTGCCGATGTAAAAAGTTATAACATTTGTAGTGTCGTCAGATGAAACCCGGAGTTTCCCTCTTTTAAATTACATGTAGGGGTGCATTTTGTGCAATGTTTTTCATCCGCTATATAAATCTTTTTAATGCCTCA